TTTGTACATGATATGTTTAAAGAAAAATAGAAGTATCATAATATGAAGTTAAACCAGTGTTGTCATCAAGAACCTGACTTAAAGACCCAATACTGTAAAAAGTAACGTATTAATACGTCTGGCATATCTTGACCAATCAAGACATGAGCATCACTTGTATTTACATCTGGTATCGCAATATCCTTTAGGTGAGCTTGATCAAATGTTTTCATAAGTTCTAGAATTTGGGATGAATTGAGGTTATCTACCATTAAACATACATTATGCAAGAGCTAAATCTGCCTATTCCAAGTTTTTATTTAGGCTTCAGATGTTATAGAGATTATTAATTAGACCTTTATTTACATGGCAAGCTCAAAATCAACTCTGTAGACCCTCGGATGACTTGGATACAGCTTGGATTTAAACAGTCGTCCATTTAAAATTAAATCAAGAAATGGCCGACCAAGCTAACGTTTACCGTTAGTGACTGACGTCATTACCGGAAACTGGTTATGAAAGGCCTACCAAGCGAGGGTACCATAGCCATTGAGAAAATTACTTGATAATCGAGAATATGTGCGTGGAGTTATCGTCTGTCAATCAAACGATCGGTAATTCTCGTAGACGGTGCGGACACAATTGATTTGAACGATTTTAAGGATTTGGGTACATTTTAGAACTGCGGTGTTCATACGTGAACATTGACGTGTTCGCATTTCAACGCAAAATGTTCTAATAAGAACACATTCAGGCGCGGCAGGCGTCCGTTGGATTTGCCGTTAAAGCAGCAGCCATTGCACATGTAAATAACTTTCAACTTCAGAGACGATAATCGCCGTTAAGTCAGCATGACGAAAAGGGCGACGATTGGCGACTGTTACAACACGAGAGTCGCCGTAAGGCCAGAGCGACAAAAAAGTCGCCGAAAGAGACGCCGATATCGTAAAGTAATCTATAAGTATCTATAAACACGACGATCTAAATGGACGCTTTCCGCCACCATATACGAGTAATCCTATATTCTTATTAGGGTTTCACACTGCGTAGCTTGTGTGAAACACTATTGTTTTTGTTAAAATTATTCTTATTATTATTCTTCTTATTATTATTATTTATTTTTTTCCAATTTGCTTATATCTCAGCAAAATCTTGTCGGATCGATACAATGTCTTCAGTTTTACTGGGAAAGTGGGTGTGACTTAGAGATTAAAGCTATTCCCGGCATTCTGCGACATTGCGAAATGTCCGAAATCACCGAAAATGTCGTTTTTTGAAATATTGCCGTAATATTAACAATAATCATTGGATTTTAGCATATGATGCATTTTGACATAGCCAGAAACAGGGGACATAGCTATGTTACTTTTGATTTTTGATTTTCGACAAATCTTGGAAGATATTAAATTTTGAAAATTTAAATTTTTACAAAAAACTTTTTTATTTATTAATATTTTTATATGACATTTTAACCAAGGTTAAAGAGTCATCTGATTTGAACAAAAATGTCAACATTTTTTGTTTCCGTAATTTTCCTTGGCCGCCATTGGCTAATTCAGTTTTTCAGTCCTACATTAATTATTTATTGTTCGATTTGTATAAAACCTAGTTCATATGTTCCGTGGTTCAAAATGTCATTTTTTTTGTTACCGGTAAAGTTTCCTGTCGGAACCGGAAGACGCGTAAATTTAGCAAAAACTACAATATTGACAGTTCGGTACCACTTTTTGAAAGCAAATATTATTTTTTACAAATCTGATATTATCCAAAAGATGCGCACTGTTAAGGTGCACAAAATCTCGGACTCAGTTTTTTTAATTTCGATTTCGTTTTCGGGCCATTTCGATTAAAAGGTAAAAAAAGGGGTAAAAATAAGCTATTTACAACCCATCCAGCGCCTTCATATATTAAAATATTTCTTTGATACGTTCATAAACTTGTAGAAATAACCCATACGAAGAGAATGTATGTGAAAAATAGTTTGTAATATGAGCAGTTGCCGAGAAATGGGCAATTTTGCATGAGTCACTTTTTACGCTAGTTTGCCTGTAAAAGAGTCAATCATTACTGGATTTTCATAAAAGTTACACCATTTGGTGCGTAATGTCAATTTTAACTAGGTCAAACCAATTCAACATTACCAATATCACCGGAAATTACGTAATTTGGGCAAAAACCGTATTTATAGCATTCGAAACAAATAATTTATTAAAATGAGTTGTATTTGTTATTCGTTTAAAATTTTGATATTTGATTCCAATCAACTAATAGAATGAACCCATACGATCATATAGATATCACAAATTCCTTTCTAACTTGGTCAGTTGCGGAGAAATAGACGATTTTGAACAGGTCACTTTTCAAGGTTTTTGGACCATACAACTGTCAATTATTATTCGATTTTCATAAAATTTTCACTGTTTGATACCTTTTACCAATTATGATTTCATACAAGTAATTTCAGATTTTCATTATCACCGGAAGTAACGTCAATTTGGCAAAAACTGTATTTGTAGCCTTCAAAACAGATATTTTGGTCAAATGAGTCTGATTTGTAATGTTTTTACAATTATGATTTTTGATTCCGCTCAACAAATATATTGAACACATATGATCATACAGATACCGCAAAATGGTTTCTAACTTGTACGGTTGTAGAGAAATAGACGATTTTCTACAAGTCACTTTTCAAGGTTTTGGGTCTTTGCCATTTCTGATTTTAAAAAACTAATTTATCTTTATCATTATCACTGCATATAATGTAATTTCGTCAGGATCACTAAATGTATAAAATGAATTGATTACCAAAAGATGTTGGTTCCTGTGGTAATTAGCTCATATCAGATTGTTACTTCCTGAATTATATTATTGTATGAAAAAACTTTCTTGTTTAACTTTCTTCTCTATCCATCTCTTGTTATTCTTATCATTATTATTCTTCTTTTGTTTTGAGTAGATCTCAGCAACTGATTGTCGGATCGTTACGATTTCTTCAGTTTTATCGGAAAAGTGGGTGTAACTTAGAGGATAAAGCTATTTTGAACGTTCTGCGACAATGCGAAATGTCCGAAATCACCGAAGCTATCGTTTTTAGAAATATTGCAGTAATTTTAACAATAATCATTGGATTTTAACTTTCGATGCATTTTGGCATAGCCGGAGACGGGGCACATAGCTACGTTACTTTTGATTTTTGATTTTCGGCAAATCTTCGCAGATATTAGGCGCTAAATTTAGAAAATTTAAATTTTTACAAAAAACTTTTTTATTTATGAATATTTTTTAGTCGTGTTTTAAACAAATATAACGAGTCCTCTGACTTGGGCAAAAATGTGAAAAAATTTTGTCTCGGTAATTTTCCTTGGCCCCCATTGGCTAATTCAGTTTTTCAGTCCTAGATTAATTATTTATTGTTCGATTTGTATAAAACAAAGTTCATATGCTCCGTTGTCTCAATTGTCATTTTTTTTGTTACCAATAGTGTTATCTGTCGGCACCGGAAGTGGCGTAAATTGACAAAAAACTACAATTTTGACAGTTAGGTACCATTTTTCGAAAGCAAATATTATTTTTTTCAAATCTGGTATAACTGAAATTGTGCGCCCTTTAAAGGAGCACAAAATGTTGGGCTATTTCGATTAAAAGGTGAAAAAAAGGTGTAAAATTAAGCTATTTACAACCCATCCAGCGTTTTCATATTTTAAAATATTACTTCGTAACTTTCATAAACTCGTAGCAATAATCTATACGGAGAGAATGTATGTGAAAATTAATTTGTAATATGCGCAGTTGCCGAGAAATGGGCAATTTTGCATGAGTCACTTTTTACGCTAGTTTGCCTGTAAAAGAGTCAATTATTATTCGATTTTCATAAAAGTGACACCATTTGATGTGTAATGTCAATTTTAACTAGGTCAAACCAATTTAACATTTTCAATATCACCGGAAATGACGTAATTTGGGCAAAAATTGTATTTATAGCCTTCGAAACCAGTAATTTATTCAAATGAGTCATATTTGTTATTTGTTTAAAATTTTGATATTTGATTCAAATCAACCAATACAATGAACCCTTACGATCATATAGATATCACAAAATGGTTTCTAACTTGTTCAGTTGCGGAGAAATAGGCAATTTTCAACAGGTCACTTTTTAAGGTTTTTTGTCAATAAAAGTGTCAATTATTATTCGATTTTCATGAAATTTTCACTGTGTGATACATAATGCCATTTACGATTTCATACAAGTAATTTAAGATTTTCATTATCACCGGAAGTAACGTCATTTTGGCAAAAACTGTATTTTTAGCCTTCAAAACAGATATTTTATTCAAATGAATCAGATTTGTAATGTTTTTAAAATTATGATATTTGATTCCAATCAACAAATAGAATGAACTCATTCGATCATACAGATACCTCAAAATGGTTTCTAACTTGTACGGTTGCAGAGAAATAGGCGATTTTCTACAAGTCATTTTTCAAGGTTTTTGGTCTATAAAGGTGGCAATTATTATAGGATTTACATAAAATTTTCACCATGTGATGATGCTATTTCTGATTTCATAAACCAATTTAACATTTTCATTATCACCGGAAGTAATGTAATTTTGACAGGATCACTGACATGTAGCAAATGAATTGATTGCTGGATTTGGTTGTTTCTGCGTCCATTTTATTTCATGTGTGCAATGCTTATGTGGAAACCTGTTTAACGGTTTCATTGGTACCGGAAGTGACATAAGTTCAAGGGTAACGTGGCACCGGTGAAACCCGTCATTACTGCTTCGCAGTTCTAGTTATCTTTGTAATAGTAGTAGCTCGCGAGTTAACGCCTGCTTCCACACTGTTCATATCGCAGACTGTTTATCTTGGAAAGAGAGATAGCTTTTTATAGTAGCTCTGCTTAACATCGACAGGAGTGGGTCTATTGTAATTTCATTTGGAATTAAATTCAATTAAAATGTTGCTTCTTTACTTCACATTTGCGTGTTTTGGCATCATTCACCAAAGTAGTGCTCAAACTCAACAGATTCCTGGTTTTAGTCAAGTCTTAAAGGAGACGTTTTATACATTTATAAGGTTTTTCAACGTGGATCCTGAAATTTACATGGGCGCGGTAGGTATTTCATAAATTTAAATTGCATTTAATAATAATAATAATAATGACTTTATTTAAGAAGGGTTGAAGGTTAGGCTATAATAGCTTTCTAGCACCCTACCCTTCATAGAAAATATAATACAAATGATTTAGTGTGACAAATCAAATAACATATCACAATAATTTACAACAGAGAGGGGAAAAATATACAGAATTAGTTAATAAGACTATATACTGTATTATGCGGGTCAAAAAACAGAAAGTCTGAATACATAGATATACATATTAACAAATATACAATATGTACATGCTTATAATATGGAGGTAAACAGAATGTATATAATAAGAGATATAAAAAAAATCCAATAGCTAAGATAAGATATGTGAAGTAGATTTAAGGTAAAGGTGAAGTTTAACATCCAAGGTAAACGTCGGCAGTATTTTTTACATCTAGAATTAATTTTAAAATTATTATATATTTGCTGTCGAGAAGGACGGTCAAGAGATTTAGCTTCACAATTGCCCCATATTGGAGAACAATAATCTTATGTGGTTGAAAATGGGCATTGTAGAAAAGGTTTCGGAATGGAGCTGGAAGATATGTTTTAATTTTAAATAGCTTCTGGCTTAATTGTTTAGAAATATACTCGATTATGATTGAGAAAATCACCCAATAGATTTACCGAGGAGACAACTTCTAATGGTTCATAACGTAATTTAGTAATGTTTTTAAAGTATATAGAAGGGAGGATATTTCTTTTCTATTGCGCCGTGATTAGAATAGTTTTGATTTTCGATATATTCGATCTCATATGAAATGGGGTTTAACGTCCCATTGTTCTTCTTCGACTGGGCTAATGAAGACGGGCATACGTCATGCAGGGTGCTATGTGAGAAATTTGCCCGGACAACGGGGCTACGGCCTATCTATTATATCGAATTCCACCTGCCAACTTGCACACCAATGTGTACATGGGACCTCGGTTTTTCGTCCCATCCGAACGAACGACTAGACAGCTGTTCTTTTCAGCCTCTGGGCTAGCGAGACAACGCCTTACTGACTTAGACACCGTGGCTCCAATCTAATATTGTTTTTATCACACCAGGCTAATAGTATATTGGCATCAAATTGAAGTGTATCTTCTAAAACCTTTAACAATTATAAAAGATTATATGAATATAGCAATTAAAATATCAATTATTATTGAAACAATAATTCATCTAAACGCTTTACAGCTCTGCAAATAACATAGATCCAATGATCTTAATTTTAAAATTTCGCCTCAATTAGAGTAGTGTGTACTGTGGACGAATTCCGTAGTTTAACTCCTTTTTTCTGTTAATCGATGGTTTTGTTGGGGTTTTTTTGTTGGTTTTTTTTTCGGGGGAGGTGGGGGGAGAAAATGTGTTATAAATGTGAATTATGTCTTGAAATTACACTGGAATGACCAGGAATTTACGGATTATTTCTGTTTACAAATGCAATGATAAGTAGTCGTATAGCCTACATAATTATATAATCATTCCTAATAGTTATCATGTTACAGTATTCATTTTATTAACCATAATATGAAGAATCATATTTTGTAAATTTTGGCATATTACATGTCATGTATATCTGATTTCCATTATTTATAAGATCTATAAAGTGTATTGTTATGTATCATACCTTAATCACATTGTAAGTATTTTCATAAATGTATAAAAATATGTTTTAACCTTCTGTATGTAGGTTGCACAATCTCGTACTCAAGCACGCTTAAACGGGATATTATAGCATAACCGATTGTACAGTTTAAGTCGGTTAGTCTCTATAGCAGAGTTCACGTGCCCACAAATTAATAGTACCGCAAGCTTATATCTGAAAGCCTCTAACCGTCCAATCACCGACGAGTAGCGGTTTGCGTTATCTTGATCTTTTCTAACGAAGGATTGGAATATTCCGTATTCTTATGTAAGCGGAAAGAGGTTGCGCATTATGTCAATGGTATGCTTCTGTTATTACAGTTTTAACAACAAAACGATTTCAAAATCACAAAAAGATTTCGGGGACATATGACTATAAACTGGCAAATATTTGGTTCCTTGGGAGGTTTTACAAGGGGTGCCGAAGAGACACAATATTATAATTTGTTAATGAGAAATAGAATTTAAGCCATCTTCAGAGCAAAAACACGGAAGAACGATTCAACTTACGACTATAAATCATGAACAATCTTATTAGTAAAACTGGTCCAAAATCCCTCCCCCCCCCACCCCCGAGGGTTCATTTGGTTGCTCAAAATTCGACAAGAGGCGTCGAAATGACAAAAAGCTCGCAACGCTTCTGATTTGCATGGTTAACTAGAGAACCACAAATGTCTTTTCATTTTGTGCTACATCTACTATGTGACGCCAAATAGAGATCCGAAAGGTCTTAATCCTTTAATTAATATTCGGTATCAAATTTATTTCAAACTAATCAATAGTTAGGATATGGGACAGATTTTTGTGGAGCAGAACAAGTTCTATCTGTAATAGTCACGCAAACTGATTCGCGTGTGTTAGTACGTCATAGTTTCTTGATTTGCCAGAAGATTTATTTCTTAGAGTTTATATTTTCTTTTTTATATATATGAACATTTATTATACATTATAATTTTCGATTTCCTTATTTTATTTAAAAATAATTATAACCTTCTCTTTATTGTATTTTAATATAGAATGAACTGATAACAAGTAAAGGTTATCCATGTGAAGATCATAAAGTTATAACAGAAGATGGTTATATATTAACAATGCAGAGAATACCACATGGTCGTAATACTAATTCTTCTACAGGTTGGTATTGTTGTGTTAAGTGCTGCCCATGATGGCTACCGATAGATGATGATACGACAAGGTAGACGTTTATTTAGCTTTATACCATGCGACGACCATCCGTCGTCAAGTATCCGAATGTGCGCGTGCACAAGTTATACATATTCATGACGTCTAGATAGTTATAGGCCTTAAAGTATTTAAAGAAAACATACCACTACATGTATAATAAAAACTGATCTAGATACATCAAGTTTGGTTCAAACACGTATCTATTGCATCTAATGACGGATTTATCAAATTCCAACACCCCCTCGAGGGATAATTGCAAAGTAAATTGGTGCATGGTGATCAGTTGGGAATATCACGAACGTCTCAATTAAAAGAGATAAATCTACAGCAGTAAAATGATTGAACAAATGCACAATTTTATTATGTTTCAGCAAGACGCCCAGTAGTAGTATTACAACATGGATTGCTGGGATCCAGTACCAATTACTTGGATAACTTATCCAATGAAAGTTTAGCTTACATCTTAGCCGACGCAGGCGCAGACGTGTGGTTATCCAACAGTAGAGGAAACATGTACTCACGTGCGCATGTCCATCTGAAACCTTCGGAGGAGGCTTTCTGGGATTGGAGGTTAGAAAACTGCTTTCTGTTAGATTATCTTTTACCCGCCCGCAAATTTAACATGGAAGCATAATATCCTCATCACTGCTTGTCCTTTCACAATTGTAGTAACATGGCCGCAGATCTTATTAAATTTTATTATATATAGGCTACATTTCCCGGGCTGAAAATAAGACTTTTGAAATTTTATCGATGATTTTTTTGTGGGGGGGGGGGGGGCGAGGCATATGAAATCCCCCCCAGTCCCCCCATCCCCCCCACCCCCCGGGATCTGCGGCCTTGGTAGTAAACATTACAACCCGGTGATACTTGTTAGGCTAGTTCGTCTTTAGTCATAATAATGAACATTGCCGAAATATTTGGTCGTGCACAGCCACACTGATCGACAGTGAATATTCGCTAGGCCGTTACAATCACTGATAAGGATGACATCTATGCGACTTAATGAGTAAAAAATATTAACTCTTTTCCTCAGACAAATTAAATTCTATAACATTTTTTGTTATGTATTAGAAAAATTAAAAAAAGACGTTTGAAGTATTTGTAGGTAAAAATTATTTCCCATTTAGTGTAAATGGGTATTAAAATGAGTTAAAGGCAGCATTCTGCCCGATTCAATAACGTCTTATGTAAACAATGCACGCGCCATTGAGTCAATGATTGACGTCGCGTGATGTGACGTCACGTGTTGAAGGCAGTCATCTTTTACAGATATATTAGAAGACTTTCGTAATCCTCGACGAAACAGATTGGTGCAGAGCATTATGCTTTCAAAATCTGCATTTGCAGGTTTTTTAGGCTTTCTTTTACATACAACTGTGCTCAGATTATTACGTTATCCATGAGGGGAACCCTACCACGACGCTTCCATACCATAGATTTTACCTAAAGCCCTGTCTACACTACTTCTATGAGTTCTACATATATGACGGTACTTTACGTTTAGTTTATGTTTATATATTATAGCTTTGATGAGATGGCCAAATATGATTTACCTGCAGTTGTAGATTACGTAACATCAACAACACAGACAGATAAAGTAACATATATCGGTCATTCTCAAGGAACAATGATTGGTTTTGCGGGATTTAGCGAGAACCAGACCTTGTCCGAGAAGATAGAACTTTTTGTAGCTTTAGCACCTGTTGCTAGAGTTCGCCACATCGAGAGTCCAATACGGCTTTTCGCACCATTCGCTTACGAATTGGAGGTAGGAACACTATATGGACTGTCTCTATTTTAAATGTTCAAAATATCACTTATTTATGTTCCGTTATATGTAAACAAATGAAATCAATAACGGAATGAAATTTCGGTATGATTAAAATCTGGCTGAAATAAATACTTGTTTAATATCATCTATATTATATTTTATAAATAATACAGTGATAATATATTACAGTTTCTGTTTGAGTTATTTGGCAAAGGCGAATTTCTTTCAAATGGTGAAGTGGAAAGGTTTTTGGCAAAGGATGTTTGCACACATGTATCAGGAATCTGTGAAAATGTTTTGTTCCTCTTGGGTGGATTTAATTTACACAACTTAAATGAAGTTTGTATAATGTATTTACTATATTAGCATTGTTTATACCACGTTTTTATCTTCTAACTTAATTTCCTGTTGACCAAGCTGTCACTTTTCTCTCGAAAACCTAGTAAAACTGTCAAAGAGTAAAGCCTATATACCGTAATGACATTATTTTTGAAACTTGTCTATGTGATTAAATGATCATAGTTGACCCCTTTACCCCAGATTGACGGTACGTTGTGTTATCATCCATTACTTTTTTTTTGTTTGTTATACTTTTGTATAGTCTCGAATTCCTGTTTATGTGGCTCATAATCCTGCCGGGACCTCTGCCAAGAACATGGTTCACTTTGCACAGGTAAGCAGTTTAATAGAATATGGAAGTCTTCGCTGTAGATATTCTTTTCCAATTATATTACAAAGTCTATATTCTATATTAAAACAAAATAAAATAGTGAAACTTTTTTATGGACTTAACAGTTTGAATATTGCAGGGTGTAAGGTCTGAAACTTTTCAGAAATTTGATTATAGATCAGCGGCTGAAAATATCATACATTATGGGCAGGTAATAAAAATTTATTATACCAACACATATTAGATATGCTTGTATCGGTTAATTTGTTACTTTGAGTGTATAAGGAAAACAATTAAAATTTTGAAAAAATACCAGTGAGCTAATATTTTGTAAAGGTATATAAAAAAACTTCAACCTTGTGATTCTATTTATCCTTCCTCTTTGAATATAATATTTAAAGTCACAACATGAACACGGAAGGCCATACTCAACCATAAATAGTAATCCAGAAATTATCCAAAGCCATGGAATTTTGTTTATCTGATGGTGGGGCAAGCTCTATACTATTCCATGTTTGTTTTTAATGATTTTAAAAGCGAAATCCGGTTTGTTTACTAATTTGCGCACAATTAATCAGACCTTTTCACTGATGTTAACGCATATTGCTTTTAGCCATTTTAGAAATTATGTTGTAAGTGAAGTACCAGCCCATGTTCTGTTTTACAGCCAACACCACCAGTTTACCACCCAGAGAACATGACAACACCGGTAGCATTATTTAGAGGTGACAATGATATACTAGCAGATCCAGTAGATGTCGCATGGCTCTTACCTAAACTAAAACATATGGTACTTGATAAAGACATTCCGCAATGGGACCATATCGACTTTATATTTGGGCTTGATGCCCCTACAGTGTGTTATACTGTTATTCATGATTTGATTTTCCACAAAAACAGCTCTGTGTATTAGACGATAAACAGTTAAATATTGCATTTTGTACATTTTAATACACATATATAAAAACTAAAAGTGAAAGGGTCGCCATTATTACAGAAATTTTAAGTATACTTCAACCTACAGATATCTTCCTTCTATGTTAAAACATTATGGTTTTCAATAAAATATCCTTCCCTATAAACGTATCAACATACTAGTTGTTATTTTATTAGAACGTTCGACTGAAAGTGAATGGAGTGGGTGTTAAAGCGCGTATGGCTATATTCTTTGGAACTTTAAGCTTGACGAAAATGGGTCTAAATGTAATATGAATGTATATAAAGTGATTTATATTCAAATTTTAACTTTTTTATTGTAATTCCTAACCAATAATGTTCGGTGAAATACGTGAACAGTCCAAATTTAACGGCTGTCGTTCACGCCTGCTTAGTCCATTCTACGCGTTTTTTATTATTATTATTCAGTCGTTTGTGAATCAGTCAGTACTAATTATTTCTGTTTTTCTTTTTTCATTACAAATGGTGCATAATGTCTTAAATATCAGATATTAGGATCCCATATTTTCACGGCAAGATAACAACACCAATGTTGATTGAAATGGACCGATATTAATTCGTGTTCTTAATTTTTAATTTGATGGAAAATATTAAGTTAGAGGTTTAGATCCTTGAATGATTCGTAGACACGTGCAGATTTCGATCACTTGTTGTCTAACAAACACATATTTCATTATAACCTCAACAATACGAAGGGGAAGGAGTTAGAATATTTCCGAAAACATATCAAGTACTCTCCTAGAAACGGGGATCACGGTGGCGAATTGGGTATGACGCTGGCTCGCTAACCTGGAGATCGGGTGTTCGATCCCTGCATTGGCCGAGAAAGTTCATTCAGATTTTCCAGCGTGGTTCTCCCTTGTCAGTGATGCAGGACGGATGGCCTGACAAGGACAGCTGTCTAGTCGTTCGGATGGGACAAAAAAACGAGGTATCCTGTACACATTGGCGTGCACGTAAATGATCCCTTGACAGTTGGAATTCGATATAAGAGAAAGCCGTAGTGCCGCTGTCCGGGCAAAATTTCCCTCATAGCACACTGTGTGGCGTATGACCGTTTTCATTAGCCCAGTTCTGGGCAAAACAGTAGGACGTTAAACCCCATTTCATTTCTCTTAGAAACAGCTTTTATAATCTAGGTGACCTGTGGCAGCTTATCTGAAAGATAAGACTGTTCAGGTCATCAAAATGATCGATAGATTATTTTATTTATAAGGCCTTCTTTAATGTAAATATATGAAGTAATTGCTTTCTGTCAGTGTAACAGAATGCTACTTCTCCTGATATTAGTAAGTACTTGTACGGCACAGCACCACCATAATGTTTCGCAGACTAGAGTGGATCCAGAAATTTTCATGGATGCCGTACGTTTTTCATATTTTCTCTTTAATGATAAATTTTATCATTTTTATAGAATAAGGAGGAAAACTAAAGAAATGTATAAAATAAAGATGTTGTGTAGACTATTACATTAATTATACTGGGTTTACTGATTTAATTTGTCTTTAACCAATACTGTCGATGTCCTAAAACATCAAACTTTTATATTAAATTGTATTTAGAATGAATTGATAACAAGTAAAGGTTATCCATGTGAAGATCATCAAGTTATAACAGAAGATGGTTATATATTAACAATGCAGAGAATACCACATGGTCGTAATACTAATTCTTCTACAGGTTGGTTGGTATACAATCTGAATAATAAATTTAAGATCATAGAGTTGTCTGTCCGTCAGGTGTATAGTCACCGATATAACGGCATTGGCCGAGAAAGTTCATCCAGATTTCCGGCGTGGTTCACCTTGTCAGTGATGCAGGACGGAGGACCTGACAAGGACAGCTGTCTAGTCGTTCGGATGGGACGAAAAATCGAGAATACCACATGGTCGTAATACTAATTCTTCTACAGGTTGGTTGGTATACAATCTGAATAATAAATTTAAGATCATAGAGTTGTCTGTCCGTCAGGTGTATAGTCACCGATATAACGGCACTGGCCGAGAAAGTTCATCCAGATTTTCCGGCATGGTTCACCTTGTCAGTGATGCAGGACGGAGGACCTGACAAGGACAGCTGTCTAGTCGTTCGGATGGGACGAAAAACCGAGTCCCGTGTACATATTGGCGTGCACGTAAAATATCCCTTGGCAGTTGGAATTCGATATAAGAGTAGGCCGTAGCAAAATTTCCCTCATACACTGTATGACGTATGCCCGTCTTCATTAGCCCAGTTTAGGAGCAGAACAGTAGGACGTTAAACCCCATTTCATTTCATTTCGACGAGCGTACGTCATATTTCTTGGGAGACACTATCGTTTGGTTTAAACAGAGAAGATTAGTATTTACAATTAATCATTTTGAAAATATAAGTGAATTGGATGTAGTAATAAGCAAAAGTGCTTATATAAAATCGTTTCCATAATTATGATCATTACATATATGACGACTTAAAAAGATATATATATATCTGTAAAAATATTGTGTGATTTAAACCAAAGTTATGGATAAAATATGTAAATTCAAATATGGAAGCAAGGAAGGTGTAATGATTATTTTTAGGACTAACATAATCATATCATTTCCTGGTTCCAGCTTTGAATTAGCCATTAATTATCAATGTCCAGAAGGTCTCAGTTTAAAATATAGCATGTTTGAAGCTTTATTAATAAATACACATTGATCATTAGCTTGTTATAATAATAATTCTATTTTCCTGTACATGTTGACTGAGATACAAGTTATCACGATCGTTTAAAACGCTTGGTTAATTCGAGAAATTTAAAAACAAGTCGGAAGAGATCAATGTTTTCTTCATAACTTTATTTTTATTTCGGCTTAGAAGAGTGTTTGTATTTTTCGAGTCGGCGTCCAAAGTGTCGATTGTGACCAAATACAAAGGGCAGTTCAAAAAAGAGAAGTAAGGGCCATTACTTATGTGCATCAGATGGTTGAGATCGCTTTTTGAGATTCGCATTTTACAATGAATGATTTGACAGTTTTTCTTGCCAAAATAAAAGTATTCTTTAGGTTTTAATTGATAAAATGGAGATACTTTTGTTTCCAATTTTGAGAGTGTTGTAGATTCTTTAATACTAGGAGTTAAATTATTCCAGTCTCGTATCGCTGATGGATTTTATCATGGAAGTATCATTTTATGATAGAACGGCGTTTGCTAAGCGCACAAAAGCCCTTTTCGTTATACAGGATATCATGTGATGTACCTCGTGGTAATCTCGTTATAACTGGTTCTTGCTACAAGGTAATCAATATGAGTATTCCACGTGCATCTATTATTATATATAAGGAATATGCCCAGATGTTTATAATATTACAAATGGCCCGGTATTTCCGATGTGTTGAATGTCAGCTTAAAGTTTGATGGAGGCGGTTTCCAGGAGAACGTTAAACTAATAGTTTTATCTAGGTTAAATTCAATATTCCAGGCTTTCGACCATTTGTAGATTTTCTCAAAATATGTTGTGCTCGTTGAGGATTATCAATAATTAAAAATATAGACGTGTCGTCCGCGAATGGGTGTATGTTCGAAATAAACTATGTCGTTGATAAAGATTAAAAACAACAAAGGACCTACAATTGAGCCTTGTAGAACTCCTACCTTGTTTACTTTCGGGGATGAACTAATACCGTTTATTACTACTTATTGTTTTCGTTTTGATAGATAATTTTCCAAAAGTTATAATTCTTTATTTCTAATTCCAATTGATTTTAATTTATGAATTATTCCAGTGTGTCAGACGCGATCGAAAGCTTTAATAATGTCAAAAAATATTTATTTTACTTCGCCACCTTTGTCTAAGGCCTTACATATATGATCGTATAATTCTAACAGTTGGTTAGAAGCAGGGTTATTTGGCAGGAAACCGGCTTGATTAGGTGTTATTAACTTTTCATTTATTGTGAAATTATAGATATTTTTAAATATGACGTTTTCATAAATTTTGCCCAGTGTGTTAAGAAGTGATATCGGAACAACGTTTACCTGTTTCCACCAATTTGGAATGATAGATTTTTCTAGTAATATTTCAAGAAGCTGGTTGAGTGGAGAACTAATACTTTTCGCTAGTGTTTTCAGGAAATCTTTGTTTATATTATTTGGACCACGGTTTTCTTTAAGGGAGATAAGTATCATTTCGATTTCATGTTGGTTTATTGTTATCTTTGGTATTTCGTTTTCTCGCTGTTTTATGTCTGATTTTAGGGAATTCTTTGTTTTAATTTCCGGAGTTAAAAGATACTCGCTTTATTATCGTTTCTTGTTACCATGGACCTTATGATGGGGTCCATGTTGTTAGCTAAAGGGCTACTAACAAAATGTGTCAATCGAGAAAACACAAGAATTTAGAACCTGCATCCGGATCAATCAGCATATCTGAAACGTAAAATTACGTCAAGATTCTCCTCTCGGGATTCAATGTTGTGTCATTCGATTGCAATTCTGTCAGTTTGGTTCGGTCTGACAATCAAATGTCGTTTAGTTTAATATGCCCTAGTAGTTTAGTAAACCCATAATACAGTTACATTGATATCTGTGACGAAGCGGGTGACAACAAAAACGTTCACATTTAAAGCCGTAATCCGTACTAAAGTTTGATTATTTTCAGACAGAAAACCAGTGGTTATCTTACAGCATGGACTTTTGGGAGCGAGTACTAACTATTTAGTTGATTTGGCCAATGAGAGTTTGGCGTACATCTTGGCTGATGCTGGAGTAGATGTTTGGTTGGGAAACAGCAGGGGAAATAATTACTCGCGTGCCCACATCCATTTGAAACCTTCGCAGGAGGCTTTCTGGGACTGGAGGTGAGGAAAATGATAAAATAAATTTAGCTCATATATAGGTTATAAATGACCATTTAGTAATATATCTTGGAATGATTATTGACTTCGTTTTATTTATTTTCAGTTTTGATGAAATGGCTAGATATGATTTACCAGCTGTGGTTGATTACGTTATATTGAACACAGGAGAAGAACAAATAACCTACGTGGGTCATTCTCAGGGCTCAATGATAGGGTTTGCCGGGTTCAGTCAAAATCAGACTCTGGCTGATAAAATTAAACTCTTTATAGCCTTAGCGCCAGTCGCAAAAGTTGGCAATATCAAAAGCCCTATTCGACTTTTGGCACCTTTTTCTAATCAAATAGATGTAAGTGCTTACCTGTAAATAACAAAATTGATATAAGTAATTTTACTATATGATATTCAAAAAAAACCAACTAGATTCACCCAGCTGTCCCAGCACTATAATATAGCCTACAAAGTATTTCAGATGAGCGTTCGCCGAACTTCCTCCAAACCACCCTAAATTTTGTACAATTTTTATTTCCGCTTAGAAGAGTTTTTGTATTTTTCGAGTCGCCGTCCAAAGTGTCGATTGTGACCAAATACAAAGGACAGTTCAATAAAAGAGAAGTAAAAGTCGTTACTTATGTGCATCAGAAACTTATGATGGTTGAGATCGCTTTTTGAGATTTGCATTTTACAATGAATGATTTGACAGTTTCTCTTGCCAAAATAAAAGTATTCTTTAGGTTTTAATTGATAAATTGAAGATATTTTTGCTTTGTGAATTCTGAGAGTGTTGTAGATTCTTTAATACTGAACGGAATTGAACCATTGTTGTTTTTTGTTTTGTTTTTTTTTTTGGGGGGGGGGGGGTTGGACTGGTGTTCCTTTTAGAGTATACACTTTCACAATATCGTAGTTTGTAAGGGATTCAAATTCAATCAATTGACGATCAGAGACTTTAATTCAACAGAACAGTACATCAACTACTCTTCAAATGATAAAACGCTTGCTATAGACATAGGTCCTCAATAAATGGTTTATAAAGGACATGCAATTAATCTGTTCTCTAACAAGCAAGTACAAATTTGTAATGGGATTTATATTCTAACTTTGCAAGATATTTACGCTAAGAATCGAATGAAAGTGGCACATAACAGGTGGTTGTTGGAAAAAATAATTTTCCAGGTACACTAACTAATTATTGAAACTGTGTATGTAATTGTTGATTTTAATTCCAGTATTTATCAAAATTATTTGGAAAAGGCGAGTTCTTACCAACAAGTAAATTCAAAAAATTCCTGGCAAAGGATGTATGTACGCATGTTTCTGGCATCTGTGAGAATTTTCTATTTATTGTTGATGGGTTTGACATTAAAAATATGAATAAGGTTAGTATTCCGTTAATTCTAAATAGCTACTGACTGATGTTTCTCGTAATGGTTTATTTTAATATCTTTAAATAGTGGCTCTATTTCTACTATTTTCGAAAAGTAATGGAGAAATCCTCGAAAAATAATACAGTATATTACTTTGTGTCTTTAAATAGTCAAGAGTTCCTGTCTATTTGGCCCACAATCCTGCAGGAACATCGGCTAAAAACATGGTTCACTTTGCACAGGTAAGCAGTTATTTCTGTAAGCGTTATTTTTATTTCATTCAAACCGATGCCTATAATTTTTTTTCTTATAACATTTAATTCATGAATTAAAAAAAATGTATTATACCATTCCAATCTTGATTTTTTTGTTTAAGGGTGTAAGAACCGACACCTTTCAGAAATATGATTATGGGTCAACAGCTGAAAATCTGAAACATTACGGACAGGTAATAATTATATACTAAAAATATAATTGTAAATCAGGCTCATTTTTAAATCAAACTTTTTAGTTAATGGTGAAGGGCTATGTCCGCAACAAAATTTATGGCTAAGATCAATACGATTTGATAAAGAACCATTGAATTTTCAAATTTGCGTGTCAATAAATTTTATACGACCATTTATATCTCTTATATTATCTTTATTTTAGGCAACACCACCTGTCTACCACCCAGAGAATATGACTACTCCCGTCGCTATTTTTAGGGGTGGCGCAGATTGGTTAGCAGACCCAGAAGACGTAAAATGGTTGTTAACCAAACTAAAAAAAGTGGTTTTTGATAAATACATCAGTTATTGGGAACATGTCGACTTTATTTATGGACTAGATGCACCAAATATATGTTACAATGTTATCGAAAATTTCATTTTAAGCAAAAACAAATCTTTACACCATATATGAAAAATGCAATGATTAAACCTATACAATCTATGAACGAAGTTCTTTATTACTTATAGTAATGCTAAATTAATGACAAAAACATATATTTAGTAGGCACCTTGTAAACTGTTAGAATACTGATAGTCGTTAAACACCGGAAAATAAATTAAATATATATATTTTTTTAAATTCCATTTATTCTTAATATCCGTTATGTAATTGTCTTTATTGATACTTATTGTACACCTATGTGAGAATCAAACACATTTTCTAGAGAAAAAAAATCAAGATTACATGCCAACTTATATTAAAGGAGCTAAATCGCTAATATTTGGGACCTAGAATTTGATACAAATGGGTAGCAACGCATATAATAATGTAATATATATCAACTGGTTTGCATTCAATCGTTTCCGTTTTTACTCTAATTTCAAATCAATTATGTTCGGCGAAATACGCCAGAAGTCTCAATCGAATGGCAATCTCTATAGCGTCTGGTTATTCCAGTTTACACTGATAGTATTTATTACGCATGCTCTCCAGATAAGAATATGCTGTCACCGTTTGACATAACTTGTGGAATATATCTAGCCTCATTTTTGGAGTCTCTTGTTACAAATGGCGCTGAAACGCATTATGGTACACGATTCGTCTACCATTGGTAAACTGTTTATTTTGTCTTAAATATTTGATATCAGAAGCCCATATTTTCCCGGTAAGATCACAACTTCAATGTTGATTTAAATTGACAAATAATTAATGTTTTCAATGTCGAAGACTTTGGATGATACTGAGTCAGATTCTTAGCTAATTTAAAGTCTAATGAAAGGGAATTAAAAAGGTACGAATATACAACTAGACCCCAAAGCAGTAGATCATAACAAAGAATATGTTACAGCAAGCGCGCAATTAGCATAGTATCGAAAATGTGGCAGTGTGAAGTTAGCTCGATTTTCGTTTTTCGATATTGGTGAATAACGAAAAACGAGCTACTCGTTATTCGATATTGGCGAATAACGAAAAACAACTAGCTCGTTTTTCGATATTGGCGAATGTCGAAAAACGAGCCACTCGTTTTTCGATATTCAAACTTGAATCTCAAAAAAGTACATTTAATGGAAGTACATCGACAGAATGTATCCAAAACACATTTGATTAAATCAGTTTTGTAAAACGAACTAAATATATCGTAATAGAGGATGCCTTAGCAGTGTATTCACATAAAAACTGCTATTTCTCCTTGTTTTTTGATATTGGAGAATCTCGAAAAACGACCTACTCGTTTATCGATATTCAGGCTTGAATGTCAAAAATACAAATTTTAATCATGTATATCTACAGAATGTCTCCAAAACACATTTGATTATATAAGTATTCTAAAACGAACTAAAAATATCATAAATTAGGATGCCTGAGCAGTGGATTCACATAAAACTGCTCTTTCTCCTTGTTTTTTTGATATTGGCGAATCTCGAAAAACGAGCTACTCGTTTTTCGATATTCAAACTTGAATCTCAAAAAAGTAGATTTAATGGATGTTCATCGATAGAATGTCTCCAAAGCACATTTGATTAAATCAGTTTTGTAAAACGAACTAAAAATATCATTAATGAGGATGCCTGAGCAGTGGATTCACATAAAAAATTACTCTTTCTACTTGTTTTTTGATATTGGCGAATGTCGAAAAACGTGTAGCTTGTTTTTCGATATTCAGGCTTGAATCTCAAAAAAGCACATTTGATGGAAGTATATCGACAGAATGTCTCCAAAACACATTTGTAGGAGAAATATCAGTTTTATGTGAATCCACTGCTCAGGCATACTCATTTATGATATTTTTAGTTCGTTTTAGAAAACGTATTTAACCAAATGTGTTTTGGAGAAATTCTGTAGATATACAACCATCAAATCTGCTTTTTTGAGATTCAAGTTTGAATATCGAAAAACGAGTAGCTCGTTTTTCGAGATTCGCCAATATCAAAAAAACAAGGAGAAAGAGCAGTTTTTATGTGAATACACTGCTCAGGCTTCCTCTATTACGATATATTTAGTTCGTTTTACAAAACTGATTTAATCAAATGTGTTTTGGAGACATTCTGTCGATGTACATCCATTAAATCTACTTTTTTGAGATTCAAGCTCGTTTTTCGACATTCGCCAATATCGAAAAACGAGCTAGTTGTTTTTCGTTATTCGCCAATATCGAAAAACTTCACACTGCCCGAAAATGTGGTGTTTTCCCAAAGGATTGATATTGTGTTCGGCGCTGTTTGCCCTTTGTGTCTCTGATATTGAAAATATAACATCGTTTTGAAAGGAGTCCTGCTTTTGATAAGCTAATGTTATGCAGTATACAGTTTAGAAGTAATAAGATTTCGACACATTTAAACTAGTCAAGCAAATCGGGGCCCGTAGTGTATAGGGTCTCAAAATCATGACTTGGTCTACGTGCTGTTTCCTAACTTAACTGAATGCGTTTATTGAAATTTTACATACTACAAAATACAAGATAGCTTACTTTCCCAAACCACGTCCACAGGTTTGTATTATTCATCAAATATTTTTGACATTTGAACTTTTAAAGTTTATAGATAGGCGAAAGTGCCCTCCTGTTCCGACTAAATCACACACACCACCCGGAAAAATACAGTATTCGGTTAAAGTGGTCAGGTTGCTGTCCTTACGGATAATACAATTTTTTACAATCACCACCATGATTTTATTTCATTGGCCAATGAGGGGCGGATTGCATCCGTAAATGTGGAATGTGACGGGACCCCACAGGTTAATACGGCCCTGTCCACAAAATCAGCTTAGTCTTTATTCCAGATTTCAAGATTGGAGAACATTTAACATACGGTGAGGTTGGGTGGCCGAATGATTAGCACGTGCGCGTTGTATCATAAGGTCTGTCATTGAGTCAGAGAGAGAGAGAGAAATGGGGTTTAACGTCCACTCAACACAAACTAGGTCATTTCGGGACTAACATGTGGTTTAATTTTATTTACATAATTCGCTTGCGCGTAGGGATCTTTAGCAGTGGGAGGAAACCGGAAGACCCGGAGAAAACCCACGAGGTTGGACAGGCGACCCTACTCCTTGCCACGTACAACCGGGGATTCGAAACCACGCCAGTCGACTCAATGACAGACTTTATGATACAACGCGCGCACGCTAACCATTCAGCCATCCAACCCCCCGTCATTGAGTCAACTGGCGTGGTTTCGATTTCCCGGAGAAAATACCCAATCATTCATTGCCCTGTGTTTCATGGTAATATCGAGCACACTAAGTCCGGATGGGAACATCTCACTATCCCCACATCTATTGTTTAGAGTTGGGGTCCACCAGGTCATGACAAATTAATTAACAAAGGGGGTTTAAAGTATAGCCGGAAACAAGTTTGTGACACTTCAACAAAATGATTTGAGCAATATTTAGTGGAAAAGATTACATGTAAAAATACATATAATATGGATTCTTATATTAAACCATTTCCAGAATTTTAATAATATACAAATTAATTACATATATAATATAATAAATATATAAAAAATATATAAATTGTTAGATTAAATAAATAAATTTCAATAATGTACAAATATATAATAAATATATAATAAGTAATACGTAGTAAGTGCATAGTATAAATATTGATAAACAGTTTGATAAACATGACAATTTACATTCCATCAAAATCCATAACAGTGTAATTGTAAATGATAAATGTATAAATCTTCATAATAAATATTGTTTTAAACAAAAGGTTATAATTTTACCTCGACGCCCTTCTTTGTACAAAGAAGGTACAGCTCTGCAGTCAGCTTTGACTCTGGCCTTCATCTTCTCCACAACCTCTTGGGCTCCTATCTAGTTCTCCTCTGAAGCGTGATTATGTTGAGAAAAAGGCGATGCTAGAATACCACCGTGAATGGTAACCCAAGCTGTACAGTTTTTTTTACAACATTCCCGGTGTATGATAATATTACGTCTAGACTTTACTCTGAATTTAAAACCATCGAACACTAAATTCTGACCACCTTTAGTATACTCTTCAAAAAAAGTAGGGGGTATTCAGAAACAATACAAAACTGTAGAAATGCACTGCTGTTTTTATTAGAGGTAACCAGTGTATGTTAATAACAGGCCAATTGCCTACACATGAACATAAACAGTTCATATGGGCGGCCTATCTGACGGCCCCATTTCACTCGCAAAGAGATACACTGTCCAAAGTGAAAATGGACGTTTTTGATTTTTGTCTTAATAATGAGGAATTGCTCCACCAATCCTCGGACATTCAGTAATTCGTCGTGGCATGCTCATAATCAACCGTCCAATCACGATTTGGGGCAATCTGACCCACTCCTCTTGCAGTGCCACGGTCAATTCATGCAGTGTTTTCGGTTGACATTGACGTCGACGAACACGTCTCCCGATCAAATTAAACGTAACACACTAAAGCAAAGATACGCTAAACAGTAAATCTTATGCAAGAACCGATACGAAAGCAAACATGGATAGGATAAACCAGCACGCGGCAGTTTTCGTCAACCCTTCCTTGAAGTGTCAAATTTAACAATGAACCCCTCCCACGTGTATGGTTCTGTTGGGGCGATAAGTTCTTCATCTGTGAACATATACTCTCAAAGCATGTCAAATGTCCATGACTATTTATCATATCACAACCTGCATAGGTATTTGCATTTCAATATCCCCTACTTTTTTTGAAGAGTATAAATATATTTATATATATCCAGGTGTGGGTGATCTGCATGGCATTGATGCCATGATTGGTTATATAAAGTTGCAATAGGTTCTTAGCGTATACTGTACAAATAATTCTAGTAATTTATTCTTTTTATTAAGTTTCATTTAACTTTTTTTGTAAATTAATAATCTGTTATTTTGTTCTGTTTTTATTAAATAAAATTAATTTTGTATAAACAAAAAAGTCAGTTGACACACTGTCAATGATCAATTCTGTTTTTTAACAGACAATTTCGGTCACAGCAGTATAGTATATGTGTCTGTTGAAAAACAGGTATAATTACAGGAAAAAATCTGATCAATCTGCTGCCAGAATGTTTTCTCGCATCAAATTTTGTGGTTTACTAGGGGAAAGTGGGACAAAATGGACACCTCGGGTCAAATGGACCCTCAACCCGATAGTTTCCTGAGATAAGGTAGCTGGAAAATAAAGTCCAAGTAGTCGAGAACATAACTAACACCCTTTAACGTTAACATCATGGCGAACTGGGTATATCAAGGGTGCAGGGAGGCACCTATCAAGTGAAAGTTTTGCCGTTTCCTGATATCCAACGGTGGTGGGAGGGGCAAAGCTGTGGCAAAGTCCAAGGTTAAGGGGGCAAAGGCGCGAGCTTCAACTAGGAGTATGGGGGGGGGACTGCCCAGAAATTTTTGGAAAAACAGACTGCCGGAAATGCAGTCTGGCAGTATTTTAGGCACTGATCGTCGAGATAAACAGATCTGACCAGATACCGCCTGTCGCCTGACCACTATATATAATATCCGATCAGAGTGAAACATGTCAAACGAAGGGACTTGCCAACCTCAACGAAGCCCCACCATGAGCGCCAAAGTAGCGGGCCCTTGCGGAGGGTATGGGAGACCTCCCCCAAATTTTAAAAAAAATAAACAACCGGAAATGCAGTTTTACAGTATTCAGGCACCGGTTTTCGAGATAAACAGAGTTGACCAGATACCGCCTGTCGCCTGATCACTAGTTTATCCGACCAGAGAGGAAAATGTCAAACGAACGGACTTGCGAACCTCAATGAAGCCCTCGAAAATTTGAAAAATAGACTGCCGGAACTGCACACGAGATAAATAGAGCTTACCAGATACCGCCTGTTGCCAAATTACTAGTTTAGCAGACCAGAAAGGAAAGTGTCAAACGAACGCAGTGAGTCAATCAAAGTGAATGTTCCATTTTTTTTCATACGATAAAGCTTTGTAAATATAAACTACTTTTAATGTGCCTGATCAATTTTAGTGCCGTTCGTTCAGCTAGGCTAGAGCAGGACCATTGTTATTTTCGACTGAAGTGGGGCTAAATGGACCCTTTCATTTGTCATTTGTAATAAATGGACCCCTATGCCATTTTGGCCCGTACGGAATTTCCAGTTTAAGTGAATCCGAGTTTCTAGTACAAATGATTCTGAGGAAGAAAACAGTGAATTGTTTTGCTTGTACTGTACAGATTCCTACAGCTAAACAGCGGTTGGGTTCGGTGCATTACACGTCCTCGCTAGGGGCATAATCATGGCCGTGCAGGAGTTGCCAGGAATGCCGAGATCTTCACATGCGACTTCTGTTTGTCAGCTCGTTTCATCCTTAATACATTAATGGTTTTAAAGTAAATTAAAACACTTGTTTTGTTCTTTTATTTTCACCAACTAGTTCTGTTTCATTTGTTTTTTGTACCGGTATCTGAAGTTTTTTCCACTTTTTAGTGAACAAGCATGGATAACAGTCATGTAAAATGACAAAGAGCTTGTCATTTGATCACAATTATGCAACTTCTATGACTGTGGACTTTTGATTAGAGAGATTCTTGTTTATTTCCATGCTGAACCATTTTACCCCAACAGGATGGACCATTTTACTCAATTGACTGTACAAAATGGACCACCAAACCTCTATCTCTATTTACAGTATATTTACTAAACTTTTCGAAGCTTTAATCTTACCCATAACTCACCGTGGGACGAGAATTTGTGGATTTACTAATCACCATAAATTGAACAAAATTGAGCATCGTGGGTCTTAAAATAATGATACACACCAAAAAATAGTAGCTAATGAAAACACAGAACAGAGGTACTGAGATTATTAGTACTTGGTCATCCAGACGCCAGACGCTCTAAATTTTGGGAAACGAACATGAACATTCACGTTCTGATATTAAAAAAAACAACTGATGAGAGTAAATGGTTTCAAGAAATAATAGCAACCCCCCTAGTGGCAACAAGTTAAATACCCAGAAGACTGATCAACATTTGTGTCGATAGAAAATAGAAAAGTTTGGCGGGGTATAAAAGACACACAGCCAAGAGGGGGGGGGGGGGCATTTTGGTGTCGGAAACATATCAATTTAATATGAAAACTAAAAAGAATATTTCCAAAATTTATTTTTAATACAAATCTAGTTTTAAATATTAGAACATTACAATAACAATAAATAGCACACCTTATAACTCCTGAGTGAAGAAGTAACTATATGTCATATTGTCTGTACAGACTGCCCCTTTGAAATCTAAACACAACTGCCACCATCTTTAACTATCCAGATATTAGTAGTTTAAGATTTGCTAATTCGTGTGCAAATTTTGTACTGTTGTTAAGTCGCACTCTAATGTACACCTGTCACATTATGACCACATTTAAGAGACATGTCCGACCTAGATGTGTGTCAATTCAGTCTCCGTGTACTGTTATAAAAGTGCTTTATTTATAACATCAATAAGAAAAAACGGTACTTTATGTATAACCAATAACACTTCTAAAATGTGTTTGTTAAAATCGTAGAGAATAAAGGTTACAATCTAAATTCGTTAGACTCAATTTTTACTTGTCTAAGCAATTAAAACAGGGGCGGGGCGTTATCAGAGCCCTTTTTAGTCGCTTATATTAGGCATGTAAAAGTGTAATCTAACTTATACATAAATTTTAAATTCAAACATTAATGTCATTGGGAGAACAAATTCAAATAAGTTCCTGCATGTAATCATACCGAAACACGTTTCTCGCTGAAACAATTCCCGTTTAGAGTCGTCGGCCAGTAAGTGCCAAAGTGCCATACCCCCCCCCCCCCCATCACCACACACACCCACACACACCCACGCACACAACACACACACTCCCAGCTCCTACGCCTATGAATTTTAGTCTCCCATAGACGCATACTGCCGGTCGCTGTTCTTTTAAATTAAGTTATATAAACGTAATTCTCACAATGACATCGCACATCTTATAAGCGGTAACATTGGGGTAAAACAAATTAAAGTCCAGCAACAGGTGTTGGTTAGTCGCAATTTGACCTCAAATATATCTTATCTTTAAAAAACTGTTTATATATAAGACGACTCGATAATAATCATTCATTCATTCATTCATAATGTGGAATTTAAACCTTTGTCAAAGAACGGTTTTAATGTTTGCATTGGTATTTGTAAGCCATGGCGCTATTGAGCAAACAACCGCTAAACCCCATCCGAAGTATTTCCAACACATAATGCGGATTTATAAGGAGTCTATGTATTCCTTTATAAAGGAATTTGGAATTGACCCTGAGATCTTCATGGACGCGGTAGGTCTACTATTTCTAAGTGCTGAGTTTAAATATGGTGACAGACATCAGGATGAAGGAATTAAAGTCGATGTTTTAAAATTTGTGTAGTTGAACCTTGTCGTGCGAGTTTAGTTCCAACTATCCAATAGATTTTGTTCTTTTGAAATGACACCATTTACATTTTAAAGGAATGTTTATTAGTTTTTCACATTGACAAAAAAAAGATCATTGAAATTAGAACTCTTAGGTTAAAATAAACAAAGATCGTCCTTAAAGATCATATGGATAAAAATTACAAAATATGAAATGCATTTGATTTCTTATCATTACAGTGACCTGTTATTTTATCGTCGGTACTTGTCCTTATTCTGACAGAGAATAGTCACGCTAAAGCCGGCTTATCATGCGAACAATAGATTGACCATTTTCGAATTTTTCGCGTCTTAAATTATTAAAATAGCTGTGATCGATCAATAATCAATCAAAGTAATAAAACACAGTATTGAAATAGGTATTTCATTTTTCTGTAGAATGAAATGATAACAAGTAAAGGTTATCCATGTGAAGATCATAAAGTTATAACAGAAGATGGTTATATATTAACAATGCAGAGAATACCACATGGTCGTAATACTAATTCGTCTACAGGTCGGTACCAAAGGTATCTCTTTTGTTTAAGTACTAAAAGCTTTGTACTATTGTCCTTCTTAGTATTAATATTTTATTGTTATCTTTCAATATATTTCCAAAACATCTTCACGTCGTGATGTAGAATTAAAGTACCATATGATCATGTATCTACCAGTTTGCAACGATACGATCGTAATTAACGATCGTAATTCTCTCATATTAAAATCCATTTCTGTATGAAGATGTTGGCACAACTGTTTAAGTCTTCAAGTTAATAGATCGTTACAGATCATTGGTCTGTGCTGTCGTGTAATTCTAACAGTTACACAGAATGGATGATTGGATTTTTCTTTCCAGGTGATAGACCAGTGGTTATTCTTCAGCATGGTCTACTAGGAGAAAGCACGAACTACTTGGATAATTTAGCCAATGAAAGTTTAGCTTATGTCTTAGCTGATGCAGGAGCTGACGTGTGGTTGTCTAACAGTAGAGGAAATACCTACTCACGTGCCCACACTCATCTGAAACCTTCACAGGTGGTTTTCTGGGATTGGAGGTAGGAAGGGACGAAATTAGACAGCCCATTTAATATTTTAAACATCCGATCGAAAACAATCTTTATGAACACTTTTTTATTTCTGTAACTGACCTCTGAGACGGCATTAAGTGACACTTTTGTTCTAGTTATGATAAATGATTTATGATCCTTTCTTTGTTTCCAGTTTTGATGAAATGGCAAGATTTGATTTACCAGCTGTAGTTGACTATGTTTTAGCAAAGTCTGGACAAAGTCAAGTAATATATGTCGGTCATTCTCAGGGAACAACGATTGGTTTTGCTGGGTTTAGCCAAAATCAAACCCTTGCAAGTAAAATCAAACTGTTTGTAGCTTTAGCACCAGTAGCTAAAGTTGCTCACATCAGAGGTCCATATAAGCTAGTTGGTCCATATGCTTATGATTTGGAGGTAAAGTATTATTACAAGATTAAAATTATAATCAAACATGAGAGAGAACATTTTCAAGAAAGGCTGTGACTGAATTCAAAGAGTTAACTCAGTATAAGGTCATACCTGACGATTTTAGAATAACAATATAAATAATGCCACGTGCATGTGTACTTCAACTAGTATAGACAGGACTTTTGTCAATTTTGAAGAATTGTGTCGTCTGCTTAATGCAGCGTTATAATCAAATGGTATTCACGATAATAATGAATTTCCGGTTTGAAAACAACGTTAAATAAAACATACAGGATCTTTAAAACATATAATATAGAGACATTATATATTTATAGATACTCTTCAAAAAAAGTAGGAGATATTGAAATGCAAATGCCTATGCAGGTTGTCATATGATAAATATTCATGGACACTTGACATGCTTTGTGAGTATGTTCACATGAAGAACTTCAAGGAAGGGTTGATGAAAACTGCCGCTTGCTGGTTTATCATATCCATGTTTGCTTTCCTATGGGTTCTTGCATAAGGTTTACTGTTTAGCGTATCTTTGCTTTAGTATGTTACGTTTAATTTGACCAGGAGACGTGTTTGTCGACGTCAATTTCAACCGACAACACTGCATGAATTGGCCGTGGCAATGCCAGAGGAGTGGGTCAGATTGCCCCAAATCGTGATTGGACGGTTGATTAGGAGCATGCTGAATGTCTGAGGATTGGTGGAGCAATTACTCATTATTAAGACAAAAATCAAAAACGTCCATTTTCACTTTTGACAGTGTATCTCTTTGCGAGTGAAATGGGTCGTCAGATAAGCCGCCCATATGAACTGTTTATGTTTGTGTAGGCAATTAACATACACTGGTTACCTTTAATAAAAACAGCAGTGCATTTCCGCAGTTTTGTATTGTTTCTGTATTTTTTTGAAGAGTATATAAAAGGGCGAAATTTATTGGAAGCTGTGGTACACATATGTACAACTTATATAATCATGGACTACATAGTATTTATTACTCCCCTGACCAGTTGGAAGAGTCGGTGATATGCGATATTTATACGAGATAAATTTATAATTGTTTGATAGGAATTTTAATATCTTTTTGACAAATAAATGAATTCTTGAACTGCTTGGAAGATAAGTGTATTTATCGCAGGATTATTTCGTTGAGCCACAAAAAGATCAACTGTAGTCCCACAATTATGTTTGCGAACTAAAAAGTCCTAAATACGAGAGAGAGAGAGAGAGAGAGAGAGAGGGGGGGTTAATGTCCACTAGACACAAACTAGGCCATTTCGGGACTAACACATGGTTCAATTTTATTTTAGTAATTCGCTTACGCGTCGGGGTCTTTAGCAGTGGGAGGAAACCGGAGGACCCGGAGAAAACCCACGAGGTTGGACAGACGACCCTACTCTTTGTCACGTACAACCGAGGAATCGAAACCCCACCAGTTGACTCAATGACAGACCGTATGATACAGCGCGCACGTGCTAACCATTCAGCCATCCAACCCCCTCCTAAATACGACATGATACCAACTCATAATTAGTCATATATTACAGAGTGTGTCGATTTACCAAAAGATGTATGGGTACAGTGTATATCTTTATTTATTTCAGTTCTTAACCAATTTGTTTGGTTTAGGTCAATTTCAACCTACGACGGAATTTGATAAATTAATGGCGACAGACGTATGTCCGCATGTCACACAATTATGTACAAATCTATTTTTTCTCCATAGAGGTTCTTCATTCCATTCCCTGAATCAAGTAAGTATACCCTATTTGAACAATTTTGGACAACTCTATGGTTGATAGTAAAATGTTTTGAAAAAAGGTTATTGTCAAAGAAAAACAAAGAAACCTGCCAATAATTGAAAGAATCATCTTCAAAATTCTGTCTTTGACATATCGGTGTGTGAATGGCTTATCCGACCACATGCAAATACATGCTCCCACGCGTAACCTCCGGTCAAACAGACTTCAGCAGTTATGATGCCCGAGGTGGAAGCTAAAATCATTCGGATACAGATCGTTCTGGGTGAATGCGCCTAAACAGTGGAATAATCTACCAGAAATTATTAAATCATCTCAAACTCTTTCTCGTTTTTAACCTAGACTTAAAGATAACTATAATAGATAAAAACTAGATGATGTAAAAGGAATATACTGAAAATTTCAGTCAAATTGCTTTAACTCTAAACCTAGAAAACTTTATTTTAAAATCTTTGTAGCCTCGATTGTCATTCTTAGCGCTGTCACGATAAGTTACAAAGTCTCGATTAACCACTTTTGCGTTTAATCATCAACGGGCGTTGAACAGCAGACCGGATTCAAATCCATTGAAAATCGGACAGATAAGATGGCATCGAGGGTTGATAAATGTGTTTTCGTGTTAATAAATTTCTAATTAATAGTTTATATAAAATTCCATGCCTAAAAAAGACTTGCAATAGGCAGATTTACTTCTTGCATAATGCATGTTTAAAACCCATCTTTTTGAGAAATGTTATCAGGATTAATCAAATTAATTAATTGTATGAGCTATGAGCATGCGTCTGACTCTGTGCATGGAGTACTAGCTCTTTATTAAATGTACATATTAATATTAATATTATTTATAATGAGAATTTAGATTGTTTTCTATCAAAAAAGCTCTTACCTCATAACTATTTATATTTTTGATCATTTAATCCTTGCATATTATTTTCAGCGTTCTGAGTGGATTTTAAACTAGGAATGTAATTTACCTTTTTATTGTTTTCTAGTCAAGAATTCCCGTTTATGTGGCGCATAATCCTGCAGGAACTTCAGCCAAGAACATGGTCCATTTTGCCCAGGTAAAAGTATAAGAAAAGGAATGAGTCTGCTTAAAAGAATATTCTAATTAAAGCATCCTTCTTTCATACTACCAGACTACCAAATATCTGACTATCATACAGATGATAATAAGTCTGCTTTCATACTTAAGCCAACTTACAAAATAGTTTACGTATTTCTTCTAGTTTCTATATAACCTCTTCTTGCAATATGATTAAAATAGGGGGTGGGGGTGCCGAATGGTTAGCGCATGCGCGTTGCATCGTTAACTGCTGGAGGGGTTTCGATTTCCCGGTTGTACGTGATAAGGAATAGGGTCGCCTGACCAACCTCGTGGGTTTTCTCCGGGTCCTCCGGTCCCCCCCCCCCCTACTGTTTATAAAGACCCATACGCAAGCGAATTATTGAAATAAAATTGAACCATATGTTAGTCCCGAATTGACCTAGTTTGGGTCGAGTGGACGTTAAACTTCATTTCTCCCTCAGATTAAAATACAGAGTTGGTAAATTTGTATTCTTCTAATGCACAATATATCCTCATTAGACAGTACGTTTACAGAGTTTAACAGTGTTTGTAAACTAATTATTAATATTAAGTGTGTCTGATTACTAATATATTTTGTAGGCTATCAAAACAGACACGTTTCAGAAATATGATTACAGATCAGGAGAAAAGAATATTTTACATTATGGACAGGTATGGAATATACATCATTGATATAATATTCAAATAACAAAAAGAACTATGACGCAAGATATTAAAAAGAAAGTAAGAGCCCAAGTGAACGCTATCTAATGTTAAATTCTCTATACATGTTTGCTTAGGTGCCTAAAAACACTTTACTTAAAACCAAGAAAATGCCCAATTTCTTTGGCACTTTTGTGTTTAAAACGCCCCTACACAATTCCCAAATTACCATTCAAGCACCATACATGTATATCTACCATTTGGTTAGAATTCTGTTAGTAGTTTTGAAGAAAAGGTCAGAATCTTCTAAAGTTGCCTCTGTCCCGCCACCATATCTAAATTTAAAAATTTAAAGTTTCATCATAAACTTTTTAAAGTAAGCCTTCGAGAAATCGTCCAATGATTAACTAATTTCCACCCCCACGCCAACCCCATTCCTTTACAGAAATGCTGCATACGCTTGTTTATCGCTTTGAGAGTTTAAGCAGTTAAGGGTCCTACTTTTCGACTCTTTTAGATTTATGAAATCTATTTTTATACACCTGTTTTGGTGTTTCCGATTGACTCTTTGCACTTGTGTATATCCCAAGTGAGAAATTTACTGCTACTTGTTAATTATGGCTCTAGAAGTAGAATAGTTTTATATTATATGACTATAGTTATATGTTTATGTTTTTAAGCCAACCCCACCCGCATATCACCCAGAGAACATGACTGTACCGGTGGCTGTATTCAGAGGTGGTGACGATTGGTTAGCTGACCCACAAGATATCGAATGGTTGCTTCCTAAATTACAGAACCTGATTTATGACAAAAACATTGACCATTGGGAGCACATAGACTTTATATTTGGACTTGATGCCCCGGAACTTTGTTACAGTGTAATTGTAGATCTCATTTTCAACAAAAACAGTACATTGCTAACAAATCAATCAAACAGGAATAATACGATATCAGTGCCATGAGCAGAAATTGACAATGGTGGGATGGTTATATGTTTATCAAGTGCGTTGTTCGTTAATAGCTAAGAAGCATGATTTGTCCATTGTTCTTGAAATAAAATTATATTGCCATCTTCACAATTGATATATTTTGTTTTAAATTTTGCACATTATTATCTTGTCAAGACCTCCAGACACGCAAAGGGTTGTGTGTCGCCAGGGGTGAATTGAGAAGGAGTCTGTGAGTATGGTTGCTCGGGGGGGGGGGGGGGGGCTTTACGTAGTTTTTGATTGATTGATAAGCAAAGCACAAATGCAGTCTCTGGAGCGTTTGTACTTAGGATATACATACTATACTCTATAAAAAGCACCATTTACAGTCAAGTTTTCAACTATTTTCACCCGCCGGGGTTGAGAGAATCCCCAAGGTGAGGACCCCCACAAAGCAAAACTTAACATAGTAATCTCCACCAAAGGCTTAAATCGCCTTTATAATATAGATTTGCCAAGCTCGAAGGTAATAGATTGTCCTCCAGTAGTTTCAGAAATTGCCGCCGACAAATGCTTGTCGGTGTGGGCTGATATAAAGGCAAAGAATTAATCCTGGCCAGAGATAAAGGATAAGTAAAGGGAGATTATCAGAGGTCAGAAGCGTAAGTGTGATGCACCTCAGCCACTTCCCACCATCCGTCTAGGCCAAAAAAGGGTTCGCCCTTCGGACCAATTAAATATAAAAAAAAACTAAAAACCTCTTGCGGGACAAGCCATCCGATCCCAACTATAAACTTGAGAACGCACTTCCTACCAAACAGTACTTCAATATGTCATTCTTGGCATGCCCATTTTTTTCCATTATTCATGTTGTTGTTCCTTAAATCTTTTCTCGGTAGATCATGTACCTGCCCCCCCCCCTTCTTTACAACAATATATTCATATAAGATCAAAACCGGCATCAACACACTATATGGCCCATTTTAACCAACTGTTATTGGTTAGTCAAATAATTCCATAGGCCTATACCATGTCAAATTAATTTCAATGAAATTTCATCCGGGGATACTGACAATGACCCACGTGAGCTGATCATGATCATATGACTCAAGTGGATAACGATAAATGTATTGTATATTCAGAAGTGGGTTTAAACGTATATAAAGGTAAGTTGAATAGATGGATAGGGTGTTGGGTATAGTATAAACATTTACAAAATTACCATAGGCAAATTTCCTCAGATAGAAGTCGATCTGTATAATTACGGTTTTCATAAAACCACACCAATCCCAATGACCTGGGTTCCGATGTGGTAAAAGTTAACCTATTTGTATAAATAATATTCTAATCAAATGTCATATATTTATCAAACAAACCAAAATGTTGATTATACGAATAGATTTCTCTATTTTTGTAGAATGTCGTCGTTTTTAAAAGCTCGCCTACCACCAATAATTCTACTGGGTGTCATTATATTGGCAGTTACTATTGCGGTCGTAGTTCTTGGACAAAACAGATACTTTTCAGATGCAAATACGTTACAGGACGCTTTCAGGGGTGATCAACTCATAATAAGCCAGTTTCCTGGATTCGATTTTTCTACGTTTTGGTGCAGTGCGTACAACGTTAACCCTTGGGATTACGCCGATGTTTATCTACTTCCAAAGATGCCAGAAATTAGTTCTGAGCGTCGAACAACAACGATAGAAATACTTCAAAGCATGGCGGCTATGAACAGTTACGATGAACGAGGTGCTTATCTCTTGAAAGGTTCGCAAATATCCTTTAAAGCGTGCAGGGAGGTTAATACGACCGTATTGACGGAAGTGATGATTGTTAAAGGGAGGTCAGCCTGGGACAGATGGTCATCCAATCAATACACGTGCTCAGATTGTGCTATTGTGACTGAAGATATTCCATTTAGTGCGGTATGTGCTATCGGTGGAAAAGTTGATATATTGAATTACACTGTGACCAATGAAGAATTTTATCACGTTGTCATAAGCAGAAAGTATGAATCAGATCTGGAAAAGGCCGTCTATTTATCCTATAATATCATTTTGAACAGAACTTCATATGATATTTCTAGTCATATTTCAATGTGCAACCATACCAGGGAGACATGTGCATTGAAATTGAGCCATGATTATCCAGAACAAATTTTGATCCATTTTGAAGAGAACGAGCGACTAGGTGGAGAGGTGCGTTTTCAGCACAAGTGTGACCCTGCCATTGTTGTGTGGTTGGGAATATTTGGTATTCTTCCCCTTGGGTTGATAATAATTATACTGGTCTACCTGAGATGTGTATGGACACGATATGGGTCTAATAAATAGGGGATTAAGGATACACCTTTTTCATGTGCATACGACAGACAATAAGTCCCCGTATTTACATTGACTGAATTCCAGGGTATAAAATAAGGAAAGGGGATTACGCCCGATTACATATTAAAAAGGATAAATATTTCAGGGTATACCCTTCAACATGGTTTTAGATATGTGTCATTTCAGTGCACAAAATGAGGATGGTCCCTGCACATTCCGGGTTAATCACTGCACAGTTTGAGATATCGTGTAATCTTAGTACACAAAATTACAAAAACAGGATCATTATTGCACGTTTATTTAAAGATGCACTATATAAGAGCTAAAAATCTGCCTATACTCGCCGCGAGTCTTTATTTTAGGTTCAAATGTTATATATCAACTACTATTTAAACATTGTATTAACATGAGAAGCCCATGATCAACTCTCCGGATTATCGGATGACTCCGATTTCAAGTAGATTAGAACACTGTAACCATTTAAGGGCAAGGTAAGGTGACAAAAATTGTCACAACACCTGAAATGGGGGGGGGGGGGTAAAAGAATCATTCACAACAGACTTAGTGCCTGTATTTTAGTATCTAAGTCTGCTTGGGATGATACTGAACAAATAAAATGTATGAAAATCAAAAATAATGAATTTGGCATTTATAACTTTGGAAAATATGAAGTAAATATACCGTTCAGCACTGCGCAGCAAATGGGTAAACAACACAAGATCGGAAATCACAAAGTCTCGCACAGATACCTAAATATATACACTACAGCCATCAAGATTTCAAATTTTGAAAACTATCTTTGTTTTAGCACAACAAGGCCATATAATCAAACTTTTTTTCAAATATCCTCCATTTTTTTCAAGGGACTACTTTCAGACTTTTTGTATGGAGTACCATCATAAGCATCATCTGGATGAAATATTGCGGGTCTGTATGGCAAATAGTAAATACTGCATCAAAATTTCCTTTTTATAGACCTAATGAATACATATTCCTAACATTTTTATGACTTCTTAAACTTTTTGCCTGGAAACATAAAGATACACTGACAATTAAACATTGAACATACGTATTTACTAAGTTTTGCATTAAATTATTTTGTAATACATTTTATTCAATATTTATTCACACTCATCACGGTGTTTAATCTTTGTTAAATTGTACACTAATAGTCCATAAACTGAATGTGGAAATATCCAGCTGAATGTTTGATTTGAACATATGATGTGTTGCAAATGGTACTCCATAGAAGATTTGCCATACAAAAATTATATTTAGGTAACAAATTCTATACCAAACCCTCAAAATACTGATTATTCTAACATAAATGAATAATAATCTATCCAAAATGTAAAAACAAAACTTTTTGTTAACATTTAGCAACACTTGACAACGGCAGTCATGACAGCTTAGATTTTGACAGATCTGTTTTCATCAATTTATAGAACGCTCCATATGAATAATGTTGATATTAAATGATGTGACTGTTCTTGCAAATGATGGTCAATATTCTATACTATTATTTAACACCTGATTTATCAATAATTGTGATAGTATAAGTCAAAAAGTATTTACTGCATCTTCATTTACCTTTCTGTGTCGAATTGCCGCTTAACGGAAGTGCTGATTACGACAATAAGTTCGTGAATAATTTATTTTTTAATATTATCAAATCACGTAAATGACACCTCATTTGTATTCAGATATGAATAAGTCTTACTCCGCAGTTGTTTAAATTCAAAATAGAAAAATTTGTAATTAAAATTAACAATTTGATCATTGATATTAGCAGAAGGTCAAGGACGTAAGACTTTCAGACGTGAAGGTAGAAATCGTTCACAATGTTTACGTTTATAAAACGGTGAAGTGTTTTATTGCTAAACGGAATACGGCATAATTGTGTGTATGGTGGTGTAAATATAACCTTTACATATCGATATAAGCTTTCTGTAAACGCTGTCAGTTTAATGAGTATTTGCATGGCTCGTATAAAGACATGAAGGGTCATTTTCAAGATTGAAAAATAAATGGCGGACCCTAACCAGGTGGTCGCAATGACGCGGAAATTTCACACTATATGGAAACAGGAAAGCAAATCGAAATTTAAGACTCGACTACTGTACCATAGATCAGAGTATCAATAGAGAGATAGTAGCAGTCCCCAACTTTTATCGTTTTGTCTGTAGGTGTAACGGCGCATAGGTTTACGAGCCGAGGGTGGGGGGGGGGGGCAATCTGATTTTTCCTGCAGACGGGTAAAAGGAAAACCAAAATTATTATTTCATCTAGTTGGCAAAATAAAGTGCCCGAAATCTAATAAAACACCAATTTTAATTTTCTTTAAATTGAACACCACGAATTTGTACTGAATTGACTATGGATTAAAACATTTTGTCTGGAGTCACTCTACTTTGTGCGACATTTTCGGGCATCAATTATTATTTGTTAATGCAGCTGCAACAATCTGATTGGATGGTTGGAATTTCGGTTACAAAACCATTGGACTACTTTGAAGTTGCTTAACCCACGGGCTAGAATAGTAATTGCGACGGCTACGTTTTCAAAATTTTCTCAAGGAGGGCGAGGCACCCTTACCCTGTGACGATTGGTTGTTTGTGATTCTGGCCAGCCACCTCAGGTAGGCTATATTGGACCACATTGAAGTTGCTGTTTTCAAGGGCTGCGGCAGTTAAATTTTCTCACAACGGTCCCCCGCCTCCAAGAACTGTAAATGATTGATTGGTTGATTGTAATTCGACCAATTTGAAGTTGCTGTATTCACGGGCTGGGGTGTAGGAAAACGTGTTTGCGATCGTAAAATTTTCCAATTAACGGAAGTTATTGAAATTAAATAGGCTTCTTCATCTCACGGTAAAGTAAAGATCTGTGCTATGGTTGGTCCATTTTCAAAGCCAGGGTAAGACGGATTAAGGATAATATCTATGAACCTGATGCTCTTTTCTTTAACTGTTTTAAATCTTTATGGAATTGAGACACAAACAAGACTTCGGAAGCCACCAATTTGATTTTTTGGTGAAACTGTGGGTAAAACACACCCTTTACTGAGAATGTTTTACAGCTTTGGTCAAACATAAAATAATATAAAAAATTATGCAAAACCATAATGCATTCTCTTAAAGAATGCACCCTTCCCAGAAAATGGTGTAGTTTTCTTGCGAGGGGGTCGAAGAAAACTTTTGATAGTTGGTTTGAATGTTTTTTTCAGTCCAATGATATCAAATCACAGGCTAAAGGCATATGGATAAAGGGGCTATCGGTCTGCTGGTCAACTTGGTTGGCCAATAACAATGTTTGTCGAAAGACTGACAATAAATTCCAACTGGAATTCGTTTGAGGATTTTCATTGAATAGTCAGGCTGTAAATTATTTTAGAAGAGAATGATCTTCGCTGGATTAAGTACCCGATTTGTCGAGATTTATGCAGATAATAGATGTGGATTGTCATCAATTCAGAGCCTGTTCCCAGTTCTTTTCTATCACAGGAAATCGACACCTGAATAATAGGCTTATTAAGCCAAAGGGAGGCAACTACATTTGAGATCATGGTTTAAAGCAGTGAAGTCTCTAACTCAATATCATCCAAAGTCTTCCACATTGAAAACATGAATTATTTGTCAATTTGAATCAACACTGGCGTCATTTTACCGGGAAAAAATGGGCCTCTGACATCCAATATTTACGACATGTGTTTCAGCGCCATTTGTACAAGGGACTCGAAGAACGAGGCTAGACATATTCCACAAGTTATGTTAAACGGTGATGTCATTATCTGGAGAGCATACTATCAGTATACACTGGGATAACCAGACGCTAGAGATTGCCATTCGATTGCGACTTCTGGCATATATCAGTTGATATACATTCATATTAACTAATTACCTGCATTGCTACTGGCCATTTGTGTCAATTTCTAGGTACCAAATATTAGCAATTTAGCTCCTTTAAATCGCTAATATTCGGGACCTAGAAATTGACCCAAATGGGTCGAAACTCATATAATAATCTAATCTGATTGTATATAAACTGATTTACATTCAATTGTTTCCTTTTCGACTCTTAATTTCAAATCAGTTATGTCCAGCGAAAAACAGCATGTGTCTCAACCATATAGCAATTTTTAGCGTCTGGTTATTCCAGTCTATATGTATAGCCTCGTTCTTTCTGGTCACTTGTTGCAAATGACGCTAAAACGCACTATGGTACACGATTCGTGTACCAATGGTAAAATGTTTATTTTGTCTTAAATATTGGATATCAGAAGCCTGCCTTTTCCTGGTAAGATCACAACATCAATGTTGATTTGAATTGACAAATAATTCGTATTTTCAACGTGTAAGACTTTGGATGATATTGACTTAGCTACTTTAAAGCCGACTATATTTGTCCACTGGTCAACATAAAAGGGTTCTATATTCCAAAATGGTCTCCATACTACTAGCCAGCTATAGGGCCAGGTGAATATAGCCAGTAAAGGGGAACAGATTGAAGTTAATACTGTAATATACTATTCAAAAAAAGTAGGGGATATTTGATTTTGGGGGCATAATACTAAAATATGCAAATGACTACGAAAAAAGTCACTATAGAACCTAACAGAAGAAACATTTCCAGTTACATGTGACGCCCAAACGCACCAATAGCTACCGCATGGAATGCAGGTGATGCTTGGGATCATCATGGGGGTCCAACCCAAGATTTGCACGACTCTGACTTTGAATGTTACAGTCATTGTGGCATTGAATTCCAGGGTGGAAACATCAGTTTAATTGTTTTAGTGACCAGAAAACAAATTTTGATATGCGTCGGCTTACCCAAAATGAGAGGTTACGTGCCCTTGGCATGCTACAGATCGGCACAACACAGGCGGTTGTGGCGCGGACGATGAATGTTTCTCAGTCTGTCATAAGCAGGCTATGGTCCAGATACCGTGATACACAATCTGTACAGGACAGACCACGCTCAGGTCGACCAAGGGCGACAACTCAAGCCCGGGATCGATTTATCCGTACCTTGGCCTTGAGAAATCGTGTCATCACAGCAAATCAGATCAGCGTTCGTCTTCAAACAGACACTGGTGTGAGAGTGAGTGGCCAGACGATTCGGAATCGACTGCATAGGGGTCACCTTCGCGCCCGACGTCCTTGCGTGATCCCTTGTTTGAGAGATCATCACATTCAGGCAAGACGTCGTTGGTGTAGGGATCGTCAACACTGGGATAATCGACGCTGGAGCAATGTGATGTTTTCAGATGAGTCAAGGTTCACTGTTGATTTTTTGGACAGACGTAGGAGGGTGTGGCGTCGTCGAAACGAGCTCTTCCAAGACGTTAACGTCATCAGACATGATCGATTTGGGGGTGGTTCTGTTATGGTGTGGGGAGGCATCACTGTAGCTGGAAGAACGGCTTTACATGTTTGTGCAGGGCGTGTTACAGGTCAGTACTACCGGGACAACATCTTGGCAGTCCATGTTGTGCCGTTCGCACGACGTCATGGCCGCCGTTTCATCTTCCAGGATGACAACGCAAGATGTCACAGGGCCAGGATCGTTACTGGTTACCTCCAACAACAGAACATCACCACATTACCTTGGCCAGCACTGAGTCCCGACCTCTCCCCCATCGAGCATGCCTGGGACATGCTTGGACAGAGGTTACGTCAACGTCAACAACATCCTGCCAATGTCCAAGAACTTGCTGCTGTGTTGCAACAGGAATGGGACAATCTGGACCAAAATGACCTTAGACGTCTCATTAGGAGTATGTCACGTCGGATCAATGCTTGTTTGGCAAACAGAGGAGGATTTACCCGTTACTGACTTGGTTGTGATGCTGTGGTAACTTTGCTGTTTGACCCCCGGTATCATTTTACCCTTATAATGGTCAGTCTGTGCCTTACTTAGTCTAACGATCATTTGGAATAAATCGATGAATGTGAACTTCATTTCATTTTGTCATTTGTTTCTTCGTCAGTTTCATTAGGTGACTTTAATAACACTTAAAAATCAAATATCCCCTACTTTTTTTGAATAGTATATGTTGGCAAGCAAATTTAAATGCAAACATTTTGAAGATCCACACATATGTAATTCTTTCTTAGCCGTCTATTTTATAAGAAATTTTCACTGTACACAGCTTCGAGAGCCATGACCTCTAATCAATTTAAGCTATTTATAACTTTACTATTTGGCCGTTGTCTTATTGTATCATATAGACAGATAACTTATTTCATTTAACACTGATCCACTTATAGCTTAAACAACTTGTTGGAAATAACCAAAAAAAACAAAGATAAGAAGTTAGTGTTTATGTTGATTATTGACACAATATGAATACCAAATTTTAAAACGTAAATAATAAAAATTGTCTACAATGAAAATGATGAGGATGAAGACAATAAATGAGACTATAATGATGAGATGATGAATGATGATGATTTGGACAGTCAGCTAGTCTAAAATCCAACGTGATGGTGCATTGTATTATGCTGCCTTCTGTGAACCCTTCTTTCCAATCAAAGACTTGTGGATATGAGGTATGACACCTGAAAAACAAAAGATAAATAGTTTTAGTAACTTGTAATTTGAGGAACTGTATTGATTCAGGATTGTTTGGATATAATGAATCCATATTGCTGATTAAATATTTTGTTCCACTGATCATGTATGCTTTTCTGACTTTCAAAAAGAAAATATTTAATCATACCACATATAAGTGACCGATCTTGCAATATGAGGGGACTATTCGTTAGGCAGAACACACCATAGCACTATATTCACACCATGTACATTTGCCGTGTAACCTTATAAGTGTGATCCAGAACTTTCATGGATGACCTCTGATATCTAGTATCAGGTGAAAATAGACCTCAACCAATTATGCTTATAAAACAAACTAAAATAATAGAAGCATACTTACCACCACCAGCAATGGTAGCTTTAATGAGGGAATCTAATTCCTCATCTCCTCTAATAGCTAACTGTAAATGTCTGGGCGTGATACGTTTTACTTTTAAATCTTTACTAGCATTACCTGCCAACTCCAATACCTAAAATAAACAACCATAAAATACAAATATACGAATATTGTAGCCATTACTCACATAAATTATCCTCATTTCGACTATCAATATGTTTAGCAAATATTCAGGAGAAATTTCCAAACTAGTTATATTTGATTGCTCAGATACACAAGCCTGGTACAGTACTTTGTAGTTGTCGGACCATGACTACCGTCAGTACCGTATCACTTAATGATCAAGGCTAAAAGCACCATTGTTTAAGTACGAGGCCAATTCTCTCGTAATGTTAAAAGTACTCCCGTACAGAAGTTAAAGCAAATGTTTATGTTTTGTCACAACTCCAATAAGTTAAAATTATCCAGCAGATCCAGATAATGCCAACAGCCGGTTGGGAAGGCCAAGAAAGCTTTTACTCATTTATATTTAACTCCATATACAGATAAATCTTACAGTAGATTCTAAACAGTAGAGACATGAAATGAAATGGGGTTCAACGTCCTACTGTTTTGCTCCGAACTGGGCTAATGAAGACGGGATAGTAGAGACAACAAAACAAAACATCCTGTTACTGTTAGTACATTGTGAAACAAGCTCTTGATTGAAGTAAAATAAACTTAATGCAGGGCTTATGTCGACCTTACAATAGAGAGCAACTGCCATTCCTGCATCTGAAAAGGGTCGACCAGTGTCTCTCTTACAAAAGCAACCAGTTCTAGTCCGTTGCAGTGGTTAACTTTCTGCAACTCGCTTTAACTAGAGGGAACTACTTTCATCGACCCGATCGCTCTTACAGCTGACGTCAACTAGTTTCCATGGAAATAAAATCACATGATTCATGTGACTTTATAAATAAGCAAAATCAAAGCAAACGAAGGCATCCATTTTTCAATTGATGATGTTAACAATAATGTAATATATGGCATCAAGGCTGACAATGCCTTTGGTGTGCTTCTTCTAGGGTGTTTGCCATTTTGCTGATCATGTGATAAATAAATTGAGTCTTATGTTAAGTGTAATCGCTAACAGTTCCGAGTCCACATAATTCAGTTGATTTTATTGACATAAGCACACTTGCAACTAGTTTTCAGTATTAATATTATGTGTACTATGACAATACAATGGTGGGAAACTGGTTGACTCGTCCACAGTCAAGTCGTCCAACACCACTGATTGACTCGTCCACATAGATTTGGTTATGTCGTCCAAACTAATAGTTGACTAGTATGTTAATTATATGGAATAAATCTGTTTTACACATCAGTTGCTTTTGTTTTATTAATTACATGGGCTTGATTGAACGATAACGGCTGAGATTAGTTCATCAATGTTATAATAAAGTGTTTTTTGATATTCTGTTGTTCTTAAAAGAATGTTTCAACACATTAACTCGATAAGCTTACAATATATCTTTTGTGCAAAGTTGATATATCGCTTGCTATAGCACTGTGTGCACCTCTACTTTACACAAAATATTGTACGTTTGTCGTTGAAGTTTTCAATCTAAAAATAAATCCAGCCAATAATACTATTAAGTTTGCAATACGCAAATAAGATGGTTTGCCTTCGTGCATGCATGCTGTTCACTGTCAGCTAATAAGAGGATTCTAACCTATGATAATAATATAGCTGTTGGACACAGGTAGCAATCCTCAGTCCGGTTTGTAAAATTTCCTCTTGATTATGAATAACATTAACATTAAAACAGTGATTATTTCGAATTAGTGATAGTTTTTTAACCTCAAAATAAAAAGAAAAAAGAATCATAGTGAAACGCAGACGATTAGCTTTTCACACGAGAAAGTGGAATATATGCATGAGGATGACAAAAGACATTCAATTAGACACCAGGGGTTCAAGAAAGTTTGCCCCCCAGTTTCAACATTTTCTTTCAGATTTATTTTGTGAAATATTGAAAAAATGTTATACCCATCATACCATATATCAAACACTATGAAAACCATGTGGATAGCACGTGATGAAACTTCCCTCAGTACACTTATAATCACTATGAATACTATCCATATCGATAACATAACCAATAATGGCGTGTGGACGAGTCAACCAATTGATAATTGATGTATTTTGATGTTTGTGAACGACTTAACTAGACTTACTCACCGTGTAACAGTCTGTATGCTATTAAATTTAATTACACATAGCCTAGATAATCATCTAAAATCGTCCTTTTATATGCCTTTGTTACATCATGCGTACTTAATATCCGAAACAGAGTTTTAAAAGTGGCATAGAAATGCAAGCAAGCGTGACAGATGAACTATTTACTTCCGGTATCGGGTCAATGAAGTATGGCAGCTCGCGCCATTTTGATACCCGCGAATTATGACATGCTGTAATTTGAAGCCGCATAACTTTTTTAGTTTTAGAGATATTTTAACAAAAACTGTAGAGATTTATTCGGGAATGATGTGGGTACCCCAAAAATCGCCTTATTTTCTCTCAACTCGATCGGAAATTTGTTTAAATTGAAGCCAAAGTCAAGACTATCAGCTGAGTTATTTCCTTCACAAAATGTCAATATTTATGAAATCTAACCAAGTTACTTCGCAATTCTAAACATACTATGGAGTGGAGAACAATAGATTATGTTGCCCGATTAATAAACTTACTTCAGCTGTAAGATATTCCAATATAGCGGCACTATAAACAGCTGCCGTAGCTCCAACTCTTCCATGACTGGTAGTTCTGTTTTTCAAGTGACGGTGAATACGACCGACTGGAAACTGAAAAGTTTAATTAAAATTTATAAAAATCACAAAAATCATTAACCCCTGCAAAAGAATAATTAAAATTGGTATTATAAAAACATTAATTACCTGTAATCCTGCTCGTGCGGAACGGGAAACTGCTTTTGCCTTCGCTTTTCCAGAATCTTTACCGGCTTTACCTCCTGCCTGTCAAAACGAATGAATGTTTACAAACAATGTCACTTTAAACTATATCATGATGACCTGCATTAAAAATATGCACATTATTAAATCCGTCCAAAGTGCACTGATTATTGTTTACCAAAATTAATCGTCGATGGTTCATCAAATTTGCAAAATAAATACGATTCTTACCATCTTGCTATCCTTCCAAATACTATACTGCTCAATGACCTATTCCGCCAAAACACAGCGTCAGTTATAGTAGCTCACGTGATCAAATGCACCAATCATAAACATGAAATTTTGCTGATTGAATGGATACTAGCCGCTGCCCTTTGTTTAGAGAAACTCTAAATGTAGATCTAGAAGATCTCTTATGTTCATTTATTCCACACAATACATCGCAGCCATACATTGTCTATATATATTTCTATATATTTACTAATCTGGAGGTGAAAATGCGAAGAAAAGGCAATTCTTAGAGTGTTGACTTGCCCTACTTCTTTGTGAATCTGGATAGGGATGGAAGGGAAATAACTCTATTGTCTGACGCAACTCGGCGTAAAAACCATAGACATACTAATATTAGTAATAGTATGTCTATGGTAAAAACCACCATAAAATTGTATTGCATAATATTATCTTGCATTTCTCTGTAATATTTAATATCATTATGCCTCATATTAATTTAGTGGTCTTTTGTAGACATCATTAAATAAACTCTGTGTAATTTACGAACACAAATGAAGATGCAGAAAAGATAGCCACAATTGTAATAATTGAAAACCAATAAAACTGGCGGCACTTTTATAGGCCTTTGTCTTTAATACAAGGTCCAAAATATCTCTAGTATAGGTCAATTTTTAAGCCTAGTTTGAGTTCTCTGAACGCAAAATACAAAACCTAATTATTAAAAATAAAATGGGGAGCTCGTGTTATTTTTAAAGGATCGATCTGAGAGGGAGAGATTTGCACATAATTTTAATCATTTAATATTCATATAAAAAAATATAGTTTTTGAGAATATACTTATGCGTCGCGTTTATAATTTTTGCATTCACCATTTGTTAACTATGTAATAATTTTAAGTAACACCGTGTAGCAATCATTATTTAGACGCCTAATTTAATAGTAGGCCCTTTAAGTGATTTCATAAAGAAATTAAATGTTCACGATATATTTCGTAATTTATACAGATTAGCTATCTCTTATCTAAACAACGGATTTCATTTATTGCTTTGATAATGAGAAAAAAATGTACGAAATCCTTTCTCCTTTATAATACGATTGTAATACTACGGCGCCCCATTTTTGAAATAAAGCAAGCTGTCGTTACGTAACAATAATTGCTTAAGTCATTAACACTAGTATCTTATCAAGTGTCAATACCCCCTAGAGAAAATGTCTCTTCTAATTAAAAAGAATCCCTTTGTAAAGGTTTCCGTGACCCGGTACTATTAATATGAAGTTACACAGTATGTTTCATTTGACGAAAGAAGGGAGACTTTGTAATAATACTTGAATGTATACAGACACGGACGAAATACCAGACATCATTTCCATTTTCTAAAGTAATTTCCTAGTCCCAAACATACTTACTCTTCAAATGTGTGAGGTGGGGAAGCAGTGCCGGTACCAGCTAACCATATCCAAGCTCCACTGCCCGATTTCAAAGTCTTGAACTTTGGGCGCAATACGTAGTCAACGACCAACATGCCCATATGGGTATGGGCGCCCCATAAAGCCGAGTGACAATAATTCCGAACTTTTCGTTTTTCACATAAATTATTATAAGCTGAAGTCGTATTCCTTCCTTCAATTTTTTATAATGTTCATATCAAAATATGATAATACGCCAATATCGCAAATTCAGTCTCAAAATTGAAATTTTCCGTCATTTTCATAGTTCCTCTCCTCAGGTGCAAACCCTATTTTCCAAAATGTTTGGGAGGAAGCACCCGAAGGGAGTCGCGTCCACTGTGTAGGTACATCGGCGCCCCAGAAGCCCTTGTCTCCCCCCCCCCCCCACACACACACACACACACCCACACACATTTTTGGGCTAGCTACGGGCCTTTAAAATCTATGAAATTCTCGGGTATTCCCCAAGTTCTCACACCAATCTTGACGTCTCCACCTTGACCCCCCCCCCCCCGCATGGACACGCCACTAACCCAGTTGTTTTTTTTGTTTCAGTAAGGCGCTGTCTCTGACATTTCCTCGAGATTGTCCGGCGTGGTTTTCCCTTGTCCGGGGTCACGGTGGCTCGCTAACCTGAAGGTCGGGTGTTCGATCCCTGCACTGGCTGAGAAAGTTCATCCAGATTTTCCGGCGTGGTTCCCCCTTGTCAGTGACGTAGGACGGAGGGCGAAAAACCGATGTCCCGTGTACACATTGGCGTGCACTTAAAAGATCCCTTGACAGTAGGAATTCGATATAAGAGTAGGTCGTAGTGCCGCTGTCCCGGCCAAATTTCCCTCATAGCACCCTGTATGGCGTATGACAGTCTTCATTATCCCAATCGGAGCAGAACAGTAGGACGTTAAACCCCTTTTTCATTTTCATTTCGGTTTCCCCTTGTCAGTGCAGGTAGGCTACAGGACGTAAGACCTGGCAAATAATAGCGTCTAGTAGTTCGGATGGGACAAAACACCAAGGTTCCGTGTACGTAGAAGAACCATTGACATTTAATTAGAAATAAGAGTAGGCCGTATCACGTTAAAAAAAAAAAACAGAGTTGTAAATGTCGCATTCACAAATTTTGGCAAACTTTGAGAAGATTCTGACCCATGCACTGTGCGCATGCTTGCTAATCAGTTTCTCCCTTGTCAGTGTCTAGTCTGTCGGATGGACCGTAAAACCGAGGTTCCGTGTAAATTCCGGCGTGCACGTAAAAGAACCGTTGACAGTCGAAATTCAAAAGAAGAGCGGACAGTAGCGCCGCTGCTCGGGCACACTGTATGGCGTATGAGCGTCTTCATTAGCCTAGTCAGTGCCAAAAGGTAGCATTTAAACCAGTGGGTGTACATATTCATTTTGTTTGGGGGAGGGGTGTTCAGGAAAAATGAGACTGACTGATGCATAATCCCCTAATGCAGTGACGCAGCCACGACCCGAGCAGGGCAGGTGCAAGCTTACTGGGCAGGTTCGGGGCCATGCGCCCCCGGAGACACTTTTGAATCTAGAGTCCATGAAATGCCATTTCCTGGAATTTGGGGGAAAATTTGGCAGAATTCTGATGGTTAGACAACTCTTATAATAGTATGAGTAAAATTGAGTACTACGCATGCAAATTCATGTTATTTATTAAGAAATTTGCAAGAACGTGTAACTGTGAATCTGTGAAAACTTCTGAGAGTGATAATAAATACATCATTTACATGGGCCTATATCTTCGATATATTGTGTTGAATATGCATGAATTAGCAAAGATATGACTATGTTCTACATATTTTCACCAATGGTCCGCGCTAATGCTAAGTTCCCACATAACAGTTTTTACTAATTTGAGCTTTGAAAAATTGGGGCGCATTGTGATATCGAATCAAAGCTATCATGTATACATGTTCATACATAAGTATTTGGGATTTTCCCTTCTATTTTTGCATTTTTTGTTTACTTCATTAATTCATTTAGTCGCTGATCCATAATTTTGCGACCGACTGCACTGTTTTTTTTTTCCTGGAGGAATTTGAATATTAGCTAATGAATATTGCTCAAAAAACAATTAGTTGTTCATAAAAGAAAAGAAAATAGCGCTGGAAGCGTTCGGCCAAGTTCGCGGTTAGTATGAACGAGTAGGTAATCAAATTGAATCGATAAACGCTAAAAAGATAATTAGGAACCGCGACATCGGTATATATCATTCTTTTTTTTCAGAAATCAGACTGAGAGGGGTTGTTCTCCACCAGAAGGTTTCACTTATAAATCCATGCAATTTCTTGGCCTATTTAACATTTTTCTAACATTTCGAGAGGTTGCGAGATGCGCAAAGGTAGATACAGAGAGAGTGTGGCCGTCGCACCCCCTTTTTTATAGACATTTTTTTAAAAATATACCTTCACTACAATAAAACGTTTCTCGGGATTAACACTCATCAGTTTATTTGTCAATTTTCTATAAACTTACAATGTCATATTCTTCATTTATTTAACCTTTTTTGAGTCCTCGTAACAACGCTTACCAAACTAATTTGGATGAGCTTTTATATACTAACTTTGCTTGACCTGTTGGGACACATAAATATGCAATTAACTTACTACTGATTTGTCAATGCATTATATTATATAAAATGTTATAAAATCTGAAAAGGCACAATGAACATAAAAACGTAAAAAGTATATTTGTATACACCAAGCTTCAAAGAGCGAGAATGAATTTATTTGGCTGGGTTTGCTCGAGGTACTTTCTTTTCTTGTATCCCTGTGGGGAATGTCGGAAATAAGAATGTCACAAACTGTCTAAACGTAAAAAATTTCAATGTTTGGTTAACCTGTCGTGGGTTTATTCCGAGAAAATGGTTCAACATCCGTTGCCCCGCTCCAACACACACACACCCTTCAAATTTCCCGTATCAGCCCTGTTGTGACGTCATTTGTGTGGGTCCCTTTGCCTCAACATCATGCATATTTATATTTACCAGAAAACTGGCAAAAAATGTAAATTCAAACACACCTGCTCGATTCTAGACCAAAAATTGCCACGGAGGTAGAAAAAAAAAAGAATTATAACTTTACTGTCCAATCAAGCGTCCATAATTAATACAGATTTTTCAAAGAGAAGAAAGTCAAATGACAGCGAATTAATAGTAATATAATATAAGACTATACAAATTGTTTTTGTTATTTTAACAAGGGATGAGAAAATATAATAATGCACTAAAGCCTCAGGCCAATAAAGATAAATGTCTTCTCCTAAAAAAATATTTAGTGGAAGGGAGATAAATCCACTTAACAACTGTACAGACGTAAGTCAACAAGCCTATTGCTAGATGTGTACAATCAATTACAAAATGCATTTCGCCCTTAAATTTCCCTGGCAGTCATTTTGTCACAGACGCGGGTTTCGCGATTTAACTCTATATACCAGTCAGTTTGTATTTTGAGTCTATGAGAGGATATTTTGATCTTGGTAGATAATTTTTATTTCCAAAGTTAGTTTTAGGTTGGAGATATCAATCTATTTTCCCAGTTTTCAATGGCGGTTTATTCATTTTTTATTTCAATGGAGTTCTTTCCCCTTAAATGGATAGACAGGGAGATCAATACAAACTACTCCTCATTGTATTGTTATGGACTAGATGATTAAAGTAAAAAAAGAGTCAATATATTTATTACATTGTTGTATTCA